TGAAACTGTCTTTCATGAGGACCGCCACAGGAAAGGAAGACCCAGAGTTTCCTCTGCTGCAGAGGATAAGTTCAATAGAGTTACCAGCCTCAGAATTTGCATCCCAAATAAATGCTTCACAGAGTTCAAGTAACAGACACATCTCAACATCAACTGTTCAGAGGAGACTGCATGAATCAGGATTTCATGGTCGAATTGCTGCAAAGAAACCACTACTAAAGGACACCAATAAGCCTGGCGCACGGTTCAGTTGTCATACTTTTCCATGATTAGTGAAGATTAGCGTATAGATTAATAGGACTATTGCTCAATCTTATTGTACACTTTTTTCCACCTTCCAACATTTCATGGATTGCACTTGAATATGACAACTTTCAGGATGAATCAAACCACTTTATTTTTGATTCAAATAAAATAAAATAAAATGTTATTTGCCACATGCGCCGAATATAACAGGTGTAGACATTACAGTGAAATGCTTACTTACAAGACCTTAACCAACAATGCAGTTAAAAAAAAATAAAAAAAAGAAGTGTTAAGTAAAAAAAATTAAAGTAAACAACTAAAGAGCAGCAGTAAAATAACAGTAGGGAGGCTATATACAGGGGGTACCGGTGCAGAGTCAATGTGCGGGGGCACCGGCTAGTGCCCCCGCACATTGATATATTTTGTGTATAAAGGCTCTCCAAACCTTATTTTTTATTTTTTATGATTCACTCATACTTTCCTAATCCAAAAATGTACCTAAATAATCTACAAGTATTTTTAAATCTACCAGTTGGTGCTGAAAAGATGCATATATCTAGATGGCTTTCTTTCATTGATCCCTATATTCTGAACCCGCTCACTCAATGTATTCTAGTCTGTCGACAAAATTAGAATTAAAGGTAGGCCTACACTGTATTTTAAGGGATGGCTTAAGATAAATGTACTGAAAACCCTATTAATTGAAAATTCCATAAGAAAATCTGGGAGGGTTTTCAGCGGTTGAATTAAATGTATTCAGCACGCACAAGGGAACCACGTCTGCAAAGCCCGTAATGCACCTGCATGAGGTGTCTGAATACCAACTACTGAGAAGTACATAGGAAAGGAGTACATTTATTAAGTCGAATCAGGCCCATAGTGTATACTGTATATAAATAATTGGTTAGAAGCGATGGGGTAATGGATTGCAGAATGGAGCAACTAGCCGGGCCGCTTCCTTTAAGTATTATGTTTTTCATGGTTAACATCAATCATTAGTTTATTTTATGAGGATCCTCGGTGCTGGTCTATGTTTCTCAACCCATTCATTAGGGATGTCTGGTTTCTCTGAGCATAGAGTAGAGGAGCCCAGCACATCTAATCTGACTTCTCTCTCTTTAGCCAGAAGACTCAATGTGGACTTCAGCACAGCTTGGCTTCCCTGGAAAACCGCTTTCGGGGAGTTCTTGTTGTGATACAAACCTCCTTCTTCCAAATCATTAGATTAACATTTTGGGGAACCAAGTTCGTTTTTTGCTGGCACAGAATCAAAGTAGTTCTTTAGGGATTACGGTATCTAGTTTTATTTCATGTACAAAGCTGAGCCTGCCTCATACATAAACAGCTCTTCTCACTAAAGGTACCTGTGCCTTCATTACCAAGTCATTTTCAGTGACATCATTATTTGGAATTTTGCTTTTTAAGTCAAGTTTTCAAAGAGAATTGGAAAAAATGACCTCACTTTTTGATTTGACATATGAATTTGGTGACTCATTGGTAAATTGTCAGGCCATGCTGTAGGGTTCAACACTGAGTGTGCCTGGTGCAGTGAGAAACTACAGCCAAAGTATTTGAGTGAAATTGAACTCAAGTCATGTTTTGGAAATAAAACCTGCACCAGTAAGTGAATCCACATGGACCCACAAGCCAGCTAACACAGCCATCTAACTAGCTCTGACCCTCTGCCATTCACGTTTAACCAAAGGCCACCTCTGTTGAAAAGTGCACCAGCATTGATGTGTCAATCATTTACACTGTATGAAGCAAGACAAAAGCATTGTAATATGGAAGCATTCAAACACACGCCAATCATTTGAAAAGCATTCAAATATTTTATCATTTCTTATTTTACAGTATTAGTAAAGTAGCAAGACCTACGATGTTGATACAATTACAATTAGTGACCATAGCACCAGGATCATTCCTTTTTATACAATCTACATACACACTGTAGGTACATATGATTATTAAAATCATCTTTGGATAATACATAGCAAACAAGCATCTTGTTCAATTCAGTACCAATTCCCATTATATTCAAAACACAGTTTACACTTCAAGTATGGATATTAAAAAATAAACATATATCATAAGTTACAAATCTTAACTGTTATTTAAAAAAAGAAACAAACAGGATTACTTTTCTACAAAATGCATGGCACATAGTGCATCAAGTATTTTTTTTACATTTCTGATACAGACCTCATCATAGTATAATTGCCTATCAAACAAGAATGATAGCCAAAGGTTTTCTAGCTGCTCATTGACTTTTGTAAGGGGTTTTCTACCTACCATTCCTTAAATCAAAAGTAGCTGCATTGTCTAACAAAAGTTCTAATCTGCATCTATGAAACTTTGGTTAAAGCTTAACATCGGAGTACCAGCATGGCAGGGTTGCCAAATCTGCCCAGTTATAGTGGTAAAAATGAGTTCCATTTACCTAAATGATGATAGGGCTCCTTCAGCAGGTTTCCTCATTTAGTTCAGCATATCTGGCAACCCTCCAGGCTGGTCTTCAGCTACATTAATAAAAGGACCATGACATGTTCTGCAAAGCATTTTGGGCATTATTCTGTAGTAGTACACTTACACTAGGCATGAAGGCTGAACCTCTTCATTCAAGGTTCTGCCACAGCTAATGTCAGTTCGAATGCCAGCAGTGTGTTTCTTCTCAAGATAAGAGGTAATGTCAGTGCTATAAAAGCACCATTCAAAGAGCCTCTTTCAGGTTAGTGGTTATACACCCTACAAACTGTACCTTTTCAGCAACAAACAGTAAACCAAACAATAGCTTCCCGGCTGCTAGTAGTCATTGTAGTATAAAAACATTGAATGTATCTATATATCATCACAGTATAAATATGGTAAAACAAATATTTTACAATATAATGAAATACATGAGCATGGATGCTTGTGAGAGGTAGGGTCACATGCACCTATAGCACCTAGAAGAGACATGATCTGGAAAACAATGTCACAACTGAACTAAGCCAAACTAGCTACTGACTGGAGATGAGAGCTTGACCTTAACTTTCCATCTCTTAAATGATGTAGACTACAGTTACCACCATATTCATTAATTTAAATATATAAACCAACTGTTTTCCAGGGACAAACAACCAATTTCTCCCAGACCACACTACCAATGATTTAGTGTATATTGGTTGTCTCTCTATGACCTGCTAGAGAAATCATTCTTATCACGTTGTCAGTCAGTAGTCAGTAACATTGGGCTCTGAACAGTGAGGACTACTCTGGGATGCAGTGATCAGAAGGCTCAGGACTCCTCACTGTGACCTTTGACCTTTGAGATAAGGCAAGTCTGGGTGACCATTAGTAGAAGAATGCACAACAACAGTAGTACACAAACCCTAGCTAACTAATTGGTGAACTAATATTTCCCGAAAAACCCATGTCTGGACATATCATCTGATCTGTAGCTTTCTCCTTCCTATAATTTTGGATGAATACTAATCACAACAAAAACATACGTTTTGCAGGAATTAATCATAACCCACGTCTCATGACACTATTAGCAAATACAATTCAAATATTTAGGAAGATGTTCAATTTTAAGAACAAAAAGTTTCCTCGCTGACTGTATAAAATATAAATACTTGTACCAGTTCTATAATGACTATTTCATGTTTCTTTTCAGAGTGCCATAAGAAAATGTTACCTTTATGAGATGAGGAAGATCTCACTTCTACTCATGAGAGGATTATTCCCTAAGCTCTGTACTATGCAGTGGCTACCTCAGTGTTGCAACTTCCCACCAGAAATATGATTGTGGCCCTTTGAGACTGTACAATGCTGGAATATGTGAGAGTGTTTGGCAAATTCTGCTTTTCATATTCCAATGCACATTGGTAACCATTACAATTACAATTACAAACACTAGTGAGGACGGACATAATAAGGGTTGGCTCGTCTTCTTTTGAGGGACCCTGCATAGCTAGCGGCGCGTACACATAGCTAGCGGCGCGTACACATAGCTAGCGGCGCGTACACATAGCTAGCGGCGCGTACACATAGCTAGCGGCGCGTACACATAGCTAGCGGCGCGTACACATAGCTAGCGGCTCGTACACTGAGTATACAAAACATTAAGGACACCTGCTCTTTCCGTGACATAGACTGACCAGGTGAATCCAGGTGAAAGCTATGATCCCTTATTGATGTCACTTGTTAAATCCACTTCAATCGGTGAAGATGAAGGTCCTTGAGGCAATTGAGGTATGGATTGTGTATGTGTGCCATTCAGATGGTGAATGGGCAAGACAAAAGATTGAAGTGCCTTTGAACGGGGTATGGTAGTAGGTGCCAGGCGCACTGGTTTGTGTCAAGAACTGCAACGCTGCTGGGTTTTTCACGCTCAACAGTTTCCCATGTGTATCAACAATGGTCCACCACCCAAAGGACATCCAGCCAACTTGACACAACTGTAGGAAGCATTGAAGTCGACATGGGCCAGCATCCCTGTGGAACGCTTTTGACACCTTGTAGAGTCCATGCCCCGACGAATTGAGGCTGTTCTGAGGGCAAAAGGGGGGAGACAACTCAATATTAGGAAGGTGTTCCTAATGTTTGGTATACTCAGTGTAGATTCTTTGAGCTGTCCCTATGTTATAGCTGCCGGGTGGGGAGGAAGTGTGATGAAGGGAGGAGCCACATTCACAAATGAAGTGCATTGGATCCCCGGAAGCTCTGGTCTGGTGTCTGTTTCACTGCCTGGTCTGACGTTGCTCTGACCCTTACTGGACCTGAACCAGCAGGCCGTTATGAGGCTGGGGAATGCACTTCCCACAGAAGCCACCACAGCGACCGTAGATTCTTGCCCCGTCCTACAGCCAGAGAGGGAGAAATGAGAATGGAATGGGACAGGACAAAAATGAACTTTCCATAGAGAATGAGGATTTTATTAATGCCTCTAGAAATTCCTCTTGAATGAATCAGATTAGAAATACAACAAGTGACAATTCAGACAATAGGAGGGTTTACAGTGCAGTCATTCAGAACACCCAGAGTCCTCCTTACCTCTGATCTGTGGACTTTGACAGAGACATAGTTGCCCTGTGACGTCCACTTGGTTTCCTCAGCCACCTTCAGACCAGTCCCTATGAGGTTGATGCTAAACTGACCCTGTGGAAGCGCACCAGAGTGATTACAATAGACCTCAGACCAACTTCCCTTAAACAAACAAACTGTTTTAAGTGGACCTGATCAGGATTCAAATACATTAAATTAGGCTATATCTCATTTCCATTCCAGGGGCTGACAACTAAAGCACCACGGTACAGTGGGCAGACACACTGAGCTCCACTGGACGGTTAAATGGGATTACTCCCCTGGTGGAAACTGGGAACACGTACAATTTCACACTTCTCTCCAGTTAACAGACTGCACTGGTCAGGTCAGTAAAACCCAGTCAGACAGAACTGTATTTCAATACTCGCCCAGCAAAGGTTGGCTCAAGGCCCCCATCAAGACATACACGCATACAGATTATAGTCTGTCATTTATAGACTCACAAATGGTCTGTGTTTCATACCTGAGGACACTTGGCAGCGCTGTAGCAGTCTCCCGCCGTGGCAAATGGGACAGGACGACCAAGCAGGGTCTGAGAGAACTGCAGGTCTGTGGCTGATACACAACGCAGAGCATATGAAGGTTACAGTCAATACACAGACACATGAGTTGCTGTAAGAGACAAGGGGCTATAAGCAACTACCTTGGCCTAAGGGTTAACAACATGACATTTAAGATAATCTTAGTTCCTCTGGTGTTTTTACTGCTTTGTCACGCATGATGACCATGACCCGTTCGTGTTCTCTCTCTCTCTCTCTCTCTCTCTCTCTCTCTCTCTCTCTCTCTCTCTCTCTCTCTCTCTTCTCTCCTCTCTCTCTCTCTCTCTCTCTCCTCTCTCTCTCTCTCTCTCTCTCTCTCTCTCTCTCTCTCTCTCTCTCTCTCTCTCTCTCTCTCTCTCTCTCTCTCTCTCTCTCTCTCTGTGTGTGTGTACAGTTAATGAGAAACACATAGCACAGCTAGAGCAGCTCATAATCTAAGTCATTATTATTTTCTTTTTTTAAGAGTCAAGCCCAAATGAGTTCCTTGCAGTGGGAGGGGAGGGCCTGGTGTGGTGGGAACATGTGTTGTCAGGACCAGAGTAGACAGGGAATGGGATGGGATGGGAAGATGACTGCATGGGTTCTGTGAAGTGGAGTGGTGGGATCCCTCCTCCTAGCTGCACACACATATAATTACCACATATCCTGACCACGCCACATGTGCACTAATCTAAGACATGCTCAGGGACAACAGGAGAGGTGGGGCTAGATGTTGTAATGGGCAGAGGACAGGAATATCGCCTGGAGATGTTAAATGTGTGTGTATGTGTGAAGGAGAGAGAGTATGTATGTGTGTGTGACAACCGATGTGTGTGTCAGAGAACACAATAGATTGTGTGTTTGTGAGTATGCCTGTGTGTAACCATGTGTCTGTGACTGTGTGTCTCAAAGGGGACCATGCAGTTTCGACTCTCTCCCAGTGATGTGACCAAGGCCTGTTGAAAGGCGATTATCATGATTTCTGTCAGGAGTATGACGAAAGGCATTGAAAATTGCATTCGGTGAGCAATCCCCTCTTAGCAAGATGTTATTTAGTGCTGTGGGTAAGAGGGTACATGCGTAAAACAACATGGATATGTGGTCTCATTACAGTAGAGTGGTCAAGCAATCACATGGTCATTACTCACTCATTATCCTCAGGGAGCTGATGTCCAGACGGACCTTGTGGAAGAGAGTGTATCCCGCTGCAGAGTAATCGTTCCTGCAGTCACAGTCCTGCCTTCTGCTGCCATTATACGGGCACTCAAAAGGGTTCAGCAACCTAGACATTACAAATAATGTTACAGATAAGATACATTCCTTACATGGAATATACAGTACATTCTGTCCATAAACAGAACATGTATTGAACACAGACACAGTAGGGAATCCTATACATGATGTCACTCATCACATACATCACAGATGTATTGTGATCCCATGTGGCTCAGTTGGTAGAGCATGGCGCTTGCAACGCCAGGGTTGTGGGTTTGATTCCCACGGGGGACCAGTACAAGATGATGTATGCACTCACTACTGTAAGTTGCTCTGGATAAGAGCGTCTGCTAAATGACTCAAACGTAAAGTGTTGCTGGAGAATAATCTGATTTCAATGAGCAAACCTGTATCCATAGAGCTCTGAGTAGTTGTCTGTCTGACCACTCCGCAGTGTAACATACTCTTTAGGGAAATCAGTCTGCATCTCAGCACAGAAGATCTAGGAGGAAACACATTGAGACAACAGATGAAGAGTCTTGGCCAGGAGGATGTGGCTGAAGGATGAAGAGTCTTGGCCAGGAGGATGTGGCTGAAGGATGAAGAGTCTTGGCCAGGAGGATGTGGCTGAAGGATGAAGAGCATACACACCTGTAGTATCCTGGACTTGACCTTCATGTAGTACTCCCCATCCATCCTCACTCCCTGGCTCATCTGGACCTCTTTACAGGACATGAACAACTGACCTGGGATCAGGAATAAGATGGAGCACCTTTAGTTTTACAGTATTATAGGGGATGGTACTGGATTGTACATAGGTCAATTTGAACATAACAGGATACTTAACACGAAGATTAAAATGATCTACCATAAAAAAAGTTTAAAAGTACAGGTATTTTAAGGTTATTTTAACTAATAATTTAACATAGATTTAGTCTATAATGGAACAGTCCCTGTAGTGCTAAAGTAGACTTCACATAGGTCTTGTAAATAGGTCAGTAAATGAAAGTGTTACACAAAACGCTACAAGCATTCCAATAAATAAACAGCAGGAAAAACGCAATGAAGATGATTGTTATCTGGCCAAGGTGTGAGTACGAGCTCAACACTGGGGGGCCTTGTTGAAAACATCTCTCTTTATTTACATTCCCTCCACAGTTGTTCCTGTGTGGTTGGAGGCCAGATCTCTCTGATTAGCTGATAGTATTAATACCTGACTGGTGAACTGGCTGTCAACCGAGGATTTTAATTTAGCCCGATGCCTGACTTGGCAGGAGACTTAACGGCAGAATGCTCCACAGTGTGGCCATGTCTAAACATCTGAAATCGGACCCAGCCACAATCTCAGCCTCAGCTCCAGTCTCAGCCACAGCTCCAGGCTCAGCCCCAGCCTCAGCCTCAGCTCCAGGCTCAGCCCCAGTCTCGGACCCAGCCTCAGCCTCAGCTCCAGGCTCAGCCCCAGTCTCGGACCCAGCCTCAGCCTCAGCTCCAGGCTCAGTCCCAGGCTCGGACCCAGCCTTAGCCTCAGCTCCAGGCTCAGCCCCAGTCTCGGACCCAGCCTCAGCCCCAGTCTCAGCCCCAGCCTCAGCCCCATTCTCAGACCCAGACTCAGCCTCTGTTCTAGTCTCAGCCCCAGACTCGAAACCAGCCTCACCCACAACTCCAGGCTTAACCCCAGCCGCAGCCCTAGCACACTCCAAGCTGTCTGACTGCCTCTCTGTCACCAGTGTGAGTGGAGAACTCTAACTCACTATTTATTGTTTCAGAAACCAATTGCTCCGAGAGAGGCTTTAAGTCAAGGTTAACGTAAAGTGTTAAAATAAAGAAATAAGTCGACATTCTATAAACTCTATCAGCCAAATCACGATGGCAGTTGGCTGCTGTATACAGCACAGTCGATTTAATACCATTACTATTATACACATTCCTGTTTGGCATTAAGCACTGCATGGATCAGAAAAGTTGGCAAGGAAAGCACATCTACATTTTAGGTCTAATACTTCAGAGCGGCACTGCAATAGCTGTAAGCAAGCTTTCTGAAAGCCATTTGTGTACACTTCCTGAGGGAATGGAAAGGGTTTGTCAGGGAGAGGCTGTGTAGAAGTAGTGGAGGTAAGTAGTAGAGAGGCTGTGTAGAAGTAGAGGAGATAAGTAGCAGAGAGGCTGTGTAGAAGTAGTGGAGATAAGTAGTAGAGAGGCTGTGTAGAAGTAGTGGAGATAAGTAGTAAATTAGATGGCTGTGTAGAAGTAGTGGAGATAAGTAGTAGAGAGGCTGTGTAGAAGTAGTGGAGATAAGTAGTAAATTAGATGGCTGTGTAGAAGTAGAAGAGATAAGTAGTAGAGAGGCTGTGTAGAAGTAGTGGAGATAAGTAGTAGAGAGGCTGTGTAGAAGTAGTGGAGATAAGTAGTAGAGAGGCTGTGTAGAAGTAGTGGAGATAAGTAGTAAATTAGATGGCTGTGTAGAAGTAGTGGAGATAAGTAGTAAATTAGATGGCTGTGTAGAAGTAGTGGAGATAAGTAGTAGAGAGGCTGTGTAGAAGTAATGGAGATAAGTAGTAAATTAGATGGCTGTGTAGAAGTAGTGGAGATAAGTAGTAGAGAGGCTGTGTAGAAGTAGTGGAGTTAAGTAGTAAATTAGATGGCTGTGTAGAAGTAGTGGAGATAAGTAGTAAATTAGATGGCTGTGTAGAAGTAGTGAAGATGAGTAGTAAATTAGATGGATGTGTAGAAGTAGTGGAGATAAGTAGTAGAGAGGCTGTGTAGGAGTAGTGGAGATAAGTAGTAGAGAGGCTGTGTAGAAGTAGTGGAGATAAGTAGTAAATTAGATGGATGTGTAGAAGTAGTGGAGATAAGTAGTAGAGAGGCTGTGTAGAAGTAGAGGAGATAAGTAGTAGAGAGGCTGTGTAGAAGTAGAGGAGATAAGTAGTAAATTAGATGGCTGTGTAGAAGTAGTGGAGATAAGTAGTAAATTAGATGGCTGTGTAGAAGTAGTGGAGATAAGTAGTACATTAGATGGCTGTGTAGAAGTAGTGGAGATAAGTAGTAGAGAGGCTGTGTAGAAGTAGAGGAGATAAGTAGTAGAGAGGCTGTGTAGAAGTAGTGGAGATAAGTAGTAGAGAGGCTGTGTAGAAGTAGAGGAGATAAGTAGTAGAGAGGCTGTGTAGAAGTAGTGGAGATAAGTAGTAAATTAGATGGCTGTGTAGAAGTAGAGGAGATAAGTAGTAGAGAGGCTGTGTAGAAGTAGTGGAGATAAGTAGTAGAGAGGCTGTGTAGGAGTAGTGGAGATAAGTAGTAGAGAGGCTGTGTAGAAGTAGTGAAGATAAGTAGTAAATTAGATGGCTGTGTAGAAGTAGTGGAGATAAGTAGTAGAGAGGCTGTGTAGAAGTAGAGGAGATAAGTAGTAGAGAGGCTGTGTAGAAGTAGAGGAGATAAGTAGTAAATTAGATGGCTGTGTAGAAGTAGTGGAGATAAGTAGTAGAGAGGCTGTGTAGAAGTAGAGGAGATAAGTAGTAGAGAGGCTGTGTAGAAGTAGAGGAGATAAGTAGTAGAGAGGCTGTGTAGGAGTAGTGGAGAGGGGCTTTGTATACTAGAAGTAGTAGTGGTACTGTAGAGACTCACACTCTCTCTCTCGGCAGGCGGCCCGTGACTCGGGCCTCTCGGCTGGACGGCAGTGTTTGGACGGTTGACCTTTAGAGGTCAGACACTCCAGCCTGCGCTCCATCACCCCTGCTCCACACATCTGGGAGCACTGAGGAGCACATAAACAACATCAACACAGTGAATTACATGTAAACTACTGACATATTACACACTCACTGTACAAAACAAAACTGTATCAAGTAACTGTAGTTTCAATACCATGACCTGATACTGTTTACTACCCCCTCTCTCCCCCTTTCTTTCTCTCTCCCCGTTCTCTCCATCTCCCTCTTTCTCTCTCTCAAACACACTGAAACACACCTTGCTCCATGGGCCAACTTTCCAGTAGGCAGCTTGTGGGCAGTCCCAAAGGAGGCACTGTCTGGTGCCAGGTGGGCGGGGCTCCGGACAGTGGGAGCGGGACTGTGCAGAGGACTGGGCATCATAGGGGTGCATGGACTGGGCGGATGGCATCACGGAGCAGGACACTATACGCTGCTGGTAGCCCACTCCACAGCTGGCAGAGCACTGGAAATCACACACAATGGAAATCACACCTTAGTGGATGTACAGCCACATGTGGAATAACACAATATATCCATTTGTGTTTGACGACCTAGGCTAGTCAAATACTGTTGGTAAATCGTTACATCGAATGACACAAATGTAGGCCTATCTAAAGGTATAATACATGGGACTTATATAGCGCTTTTTAACAACCCAAAGTAGCTTGACAATTATAGAAATGAAAAAGAAAAACAACCAAACAGGAGTATGACCAGGCAGAGGTTTCCTAAACCAAGGTTCCTACCTGTGACCACTCCCCTGTCATCCACATGTAGTGGCAAGGTGCTCTGCTGCAGGGCTGGTGCAGGGCAGGGTAAGACAAGGGGTCACAGAGGGCGTCCTGGACAGGGGTCAGCCCGGCCCCCACGCACAGAACCTTCCTATTCCTCATACCTCCACAGGTGGCGTTACACTGCAGAGAACAGACACAGGACGAGAACAACATGTCAACATCAAAAGGCATTATACGTAATACAAGTGTAACCTTGTCCCCATTCTCAATTGCTACCGCATATAGGTTCGACAGAGAGAGAGCCGGCTGGCGGACCAGATACAGTATAAGTGTGGAACAAAGGGTAATGTCTTCAGATTGGCATAGGGGGCAGTGTTGGCCCGCTAGCAGAGATAACCCAGATAAGTTCTACCAGGTTTGGTTGTTTCCTTAGCTCTCCAGATGGCCAAACTCCAGAAGAAAACTGTTCTGTCTAAAACATTTCTTCTACACTTTATCCAGGAGAGGAACAGTAAGCATGCTATGACATCTCACATTGTTTTCAAGAACAACCCCAAAGAATAAGCAAACGGCAAGTCATGGGTGGATACTCATGTTGGTTTTGAATGAATTCAAATGATGGTTTAGAGAGGTAGTCAAAAGCAAAGACAGGTGAGAGTAGGCACACTACATTTTGAATGGCTAAAGCATATGTCCTATGAAATCAAATAAGATATCAGTTTTGTTTGTAAGAATATCTAATTCTAAGCCAGAAATTGCTGTAAACGATCAGTGGAATGCATAGCAACACAGGCAGACAGGATCTGAGAGCGTGCAAACATTCTTGCACCAGAAGGAAGCAGCACAAAGTCCTTACATGGCGCTCATCTTTTGCATCCTGAAGTTTGGCGACGGTGTAGGGGGGACAGGGGTAGAGAGGGGCCAAGGGTAGAAAACACTGAGTTCAAGGGGACTGCTTAGTGCTCACGTCACACAGTGCAGTGCCCCTTGACAAGACAAAAGATGCAGATCTGATATGGATCAGTGCTCTGAGGTTTAGATGTGATTTATCATAGGGTGATGGTTATCAATCAAACCCTCATGTCTGATGCAGGAGTGCTGGGCTACTTTAGTGACCTCATAAACACAGCTGGTCTGGTCCACTTGCTCTAGTGGAAAGAGCTGTGTGAGAGCACTGCCAATAACAATCTCCAGTATGATGATTTGATGCCTTCTCTCGCACACAAACACCATAACCACCGTGTGTTCATTAAACACACACACTAGCAACTGGAGTCTGCCTCTATTAACAAATCTATGTGAATATAATCAAATGATGAAATAGTATTTAAAAGCACATTGGCTCTCTGAATTTTGCGGAAGCAATGCATTCTAAACTGAGGTTCCACTGGGGGCTTGGTGTTTTGTGTGCTTGTCCAGTAACCCATAAGACATAAACACGTCCAGTAGGCAGCGCCACTCCGTCACTGTGCCTCACACATGGTGTCCTTGCCTGGGTATTCTGGAGTGTTTTGAGAGAGTGTCTGTGGGGAGGTGGATAGTAAAGGGAGCACGTTGACGGTTGGCTACTGTTCAAACCCTGAACATGACCCATGGCACATAGGGGTGAATTAGAAGTTTGATGGGAGAAACCCCAAACCTACAATAAGACAGTTGTATGGAGAGGAGGTGACGAGCCCCTGTTTGTGTTGGTGATGAAGTGTGTTGGGAAGAGATTGTGTGTCAAAGAGGGAGAGAAACAAATGGGGGAGAGTGTGAAGAAGAAGAAGAAGAAGAAGAAGAAGAAGAAGAAGAAGAAAGAATGAAGAAGAAGAAGAAGAAGAAGAAGAAGAAGAAGAAGAAGAAGAAGAAGAAGAAGAAGAAGAAGAAGAAGAAGTAGTAGTAGTAAGTGAAATAGAAAATGAGAGAGATGGAAAGACAAAGAGAGAGATAGATAGTGGTCAATACTTACATCTTGCCACTCTCCGGCTGCCCAGGTGTAATGGAGACACTCAGTAGCCTGGCAGGGCTGGGCAGTGGCAGGACAGTTGTGGGCACCACACAGCTCCTCTCTCACCCGCCCTGTACCCTTCAGTCTGCAGTACACTTCTCTGTTCTGGACCCCTACTCCACAGGTGACAGAGCACTACAAACACACACAAACACACACCCGTTAGATTGACTGACACACAACACACACTGACAAAAATAAACACACACTATATACGTCTGTAGACAAAGGCATTTCACGAACACCCTCTGCATCCACTTTTTATTCCCAAATTTACATTTACATTTTAGTCATTTAGCAGACGCTCTTATCCAGAGCGACTTACAGTTAGTGAATACATATATATTTTTTTATACTGGCCCCCCGTGGGAAACGAACCCACAACCCTGGCGTTGCAAACGCCATGCTCTATCAACATCCCTGCCGGCCATTCCCTCCCTTACCCTGGACGACGCTGGGCCAATTGTGCGCCGCCCATGAGTCTCCCGGTCGCGGCCGGCTGCGACAGAGCCTGGATACGAACCAGGATCTCTAGTGACACAGTTAACACTGCGATGCAGTGTCTTAGACCACTGCGCCACTCAGGAGTGGCGCAAATGCCTGCAATGTTGTATGATTTCAAACTCAGAGTGAGAGTTAACCATCTGATTACATTTCCAGCTCAGAAAGCCCTTTTGGTCGTTCCACTGTTACTGTAGAAACCAGATCTGAAATTAAACCAAAATACATACATTTTCCCATCATATCCCCTCCCCCCTCTCTGACCAGGACTAAGCATGACTGTTTTGTAACATATATGCTTTGTTTAGTCTGCTGGGTCTGATTCGCAAGCTTTAAAGGAAAACTCCACACAAAAACTATATTTTGATATTTGTTTCATTAGTCCATTGTTGACATAGTCCCAAAATGTTTCGCAATCAAGTTTTCAAGATATGTAACTTTCAAAATACAGAAATCATCCCCATATGATGCATTATGCATCATATGATGCTGCGTTTTGCATCTTATGATGCAGTGATGATTTGTGTATTTTGAAAGTTACATATCTTGAAAACTTGATTGCTGACAAGCAAAACATTTTGGGACTATGTCAACAATGGACTAATGAAACAAATACCAAAAGATAGTTTTGGGTTGGACATTTCCTTTAATGCCTCTACACAATGTCCTTGACCAATTCAAACAGAGAAATATGTTTTCCTCTGAGCCTGCATTTGTGGTGTCTGTGTGAGCCGTATTGCCAGTTCACTCACAGGTCTATAACATGGCCCATCTCTTTTAAGCAATTGAGAATCCTACCTGCATGCCGAAGAAGCTCTCTAGAACATTAGAAAGAGGTTTCCCAGACAAACATTAACCTTATCCTGGACTAAGAAGCATGTTTAATGGAGACTCTCCACTCAAAGTGCCTTTTAGTCCAGGACTACCTTAATCTGGGTCTGGAAACCAACCCCCAGGGTTCTAGAAGAAAGCTGTGTAAATACTATACATGTTCTGTAAGTACCCTATTTCCGGTTAGATCAGTTAATTTATACCAGGGGTGTCAAACTCATTTTAGCTCAGGGGCCACATGGAGGAAAATCTATTCCCAAGTGGGCCGGACCGGAAAAATCATGGTATATATAACTTAAAAACAACAACTTCAGATTGTTTTCTTTGTTTTAATACGATCAACATACAACATAAAGCTGGAGCCTGAGGACAGTATGTCCAAAATAGTACAAGCACAACATCACTATTAATCATAAAACACGTCAAGTTTATTTGAAAATTCTAAAGAAAAAGAACACACAAACACACAATGCCTCAGTGATTAACAGAACTGTTTCACAGATCACAGAACTATATCAGGGTGTCATTTCTCAGGCAGAAATGTAGATAAAAATAATGAAATCCTGTTCCCCAAACAAGTGCAAGAACCACAGAGTCAAGAATAGGTTAAATATACAAATAAAATAAAATCAATTAAAAACAATAGCACATCAACATAAAAACATATAAACATAAAGCTGGAGCCTGAGGACAGTGTCCAAAAGCACAACATCACTATTAATCATAAAACACCTCAAGTTATTTGAAAGTTCTGAGGACAAAGAACACACAAACACACAATGCCTCAGTGATTAACAGAACTGTTTCACAGATCACAGAACTATATCAGGGTGTCATTTCTCAGGCAGAAATGTAGATAAAAATAATGAAATCCTGTTCCCCAAACAAGAACCACAGAGTCAAGAATAGGTTAAATATACAAATAAAATAAAATCAATTAAAAACAATAGCACATCAACATAAAAACATATAAACATAAATCTGAAAGCGTTGCTCAAACTCCCGTAACAGTCCCGTTATTTTATCTTTGAACCGCTTCATGTCTGCCACATGTTGGGTCGCGCACACATTTTTCAGACAGGGGAAGTGAGCTGCATCACCACCAGCAAGTTGCGTCTCCCACAATGACAGCTTCAACTTGAAAGAACGTATGCTGTCATAATACTGCGTGACAACTTTGTTGCGCCCTTGCAGCTGTTTGTTCAAGTTATTCAGGTGCTCTGTAACATCCACCATAAATGCAAGGTCCTCAATCCATTCTGCGGAATGAAATTCTAACACTGGTTTGCCCTTTTCTTCCATGAACTGTTCAATTTCTTCTCGTAAATCAAAGAAACGCCTCAGCACAGCACCTCGGCTTAACCATCTTACCTCAGTGTGGTATGGCAGGCCATAGATGTGGTCTTTCTCTCTGAGAAGGCTGTCAAACTGACGGTGATTCAGGCTTCTGGATCGGATGAAATTAACAGTTTGGATGACCACCTTCATGACGTTATCCATCTTTAATGACTTGCAACACAAAGCCTCCTGGTGCAAAATACAGTGAAAAGTCAAAAAATCACGTCCTCCATTTGCAGATTGCACTTTCTCTCTGAACTTTGTCACAACGCCTGCTTTTTTCCCGATCATTGAGGGCGCACCATCTGTAGCCAGGTTGACAGCGTGGGACCAGTCCACTCCGACCCTGTCCAGCGCGCCGACGAGTGCGGTAAAAATATCAGCTGCTGTCGTTGTATCTGTCATCGGCACCAACTCCACGAACTCCTCGGTGACGGTCAATGTGTCATCAACTCCGCGGATGAAAATGGCCAGTTGTGCAACATCTGTAATGTCCGTGCTTTCATCAATTGCAACCGAAAACGCAATAAATTACTTTACTTTTTGCTTCAACTGGCTGTCCAAATCCACTGAAAGATCGGAAATCCTGTCTGCAACTGTGTTTCTTGACAGGCTGATATTTGCAAAAGCCTGCCGCTTTTCAGGGCACACAATCTCCGCTGCCTTCATCATGCATGTTTTTACAAATTCACCCTCACTAAATGGTTTTGAAGCCACTGCGATTTCATTAGCAATGAGGTAGCTAGCTTTCACTGCAGCGTCACTGATGTCTCGGCTGTGAGTAAACACAGACTGCTGTTTCTTCAGACCCGCCAACAGTTCATTCACCTTCTCTCATCTCCGCTGTCCTTGAAAGTTATCATATTTGTTGGCATGAAAACTCACATAGTGGCGACGAAGGTTGGGGCCGGCAGGTAGCTTAGTGGTTAAGAGCGTAGTGCCAGTAACCGAAAGGTCGCTGGTTCTAATCCCCGAGCCGACTAGGTGAAAAATCTGTCGATGTGCCCTTGAGCAAGGCACTTAACCCTAATTGCTCCTGTAAGTCGCTCTGGATAAGAGCGTCTGCTAAATGACTAAAATGTAATGATATTCTTTCAGCACTGCAACATGCTCTGAACACACCAAACATACAGCTTTCCCATTCAATTCAGTGAATAAATAGGATGACCATTTTTCTTGGAACACTCTGCACTCTGCGTCCACTTTTCTCTTTTTTGACAGAGACATATTGGGGCAATGAGGGTGCCAAAGCACATAATGTTAAAAGTAGAAGCCGTAATAAATATCGCGGGCAAAACAAAGTAGCTCATTGGCTGCACGTGCTTGACCTACTTGCTCTGCCCCGGTATAAACAGTTTGCTTGCTTAACACAATTGCTATTGTGCCATCCAGTGGACGCAATTGGAACAGCAGTTTATTTTATTGAAAAATTGCAGCGCATTTTTATACTTTACAAAATTATTATAATTTTTTATTTTATTTGTATCATCTCGCGGGCCGGATTAAACCTGTTTGCGGGCCTGATCCGGCCCGCGGGCCTGACGTTTGACACCCCTGATTTATACAGTAGGCTATATCATGTTGTATTAGAACTGTGTGTAGGTCTACGTCCTCATCTCTAGGGTTAAGTGAAGTTTTACTCCTTATGTTTGGAAGGAGAACAAAAGGCATTAAGGGAAATCTGAACTCAGATGAAGGTCTAAGCAAAAGAACGAGGCCTCATTTAAAGGCTTACGTTTTAAACATCCCAAAGTGGGGTGTAATAGAGCCTCCTACTACGATTTGAACAACAGTTATGGGTTAAGAAATTTGATTCTAATCTCTTTCCAAGAGACTTTCGGTTTTCATTGCTGAAGATCAAACCTATCATAGTTGAGCACACTATTCAATATTGGAGTTGAGCTTCTCCAGAGACTGCTGCTCTCTACCCATCTACAGTATGTCTGTTTGACATAAAAATAGAATTTAGAATAGAATTAGAACAATAATAGAATATTAACTAGTTATTCTAATTCTATGGGTTTTGATTGGATAGGACAGCAGACCCCAAAACACGCCTTAGCACAGTGTGGTTGATCATAGAGAGGCGGGACATGCAGCTGTCACAGACCAATCAGTGGGATCGCTGCCACTCACTCCCGAGCACGGGCCACCCTACACCAAGAGCTCAACAGGCAGTCCTCACCCCTTCCTCATTTACCCCTCTCACACCCCCTTGCACCTCTTCACAGACCCCCATTCAGAGGCGACTGTGAGGTGATTGAGTGGCTGGCTGCTGAAAAGCCCAAACGGTGGGTGCTGAGGTTTCCAAAGTTGTCACAGGCATGAACGTTTAGATATAAAACATGGCTTTATGCTCTAGTTGTGGATTTCATGGTTTCTGGTGGTATGTGGAGGGAAATGATTGCTTCCAGACACCAGGGAGGGAGAGTGAGAAGGAGAGTGAGGCCCTTAAAGGCTGGGGAGTGGCAGTGGTCTCATGTGGGAAGACAGAGACGGGGTGTGGGTGTAATATAATATACTAGCATGAATATATACCGACAAAAGCACATATCATAGCATACTACAGGTTGCGGAGGGACCTACAATTTTTGAGGGGAGAATGACTGTGAAAAGGTCATAAGGTCAGACTTTTGAAAAGGATGTATGAAAATAAAATGTTGCTGACATCTAAAATATAATTTCCCCCTCCAGAAATTAGCCCAATATAACATATTGATCCATATTATCAGGCAGGTGTGCTATTTAGCAATAAGCATTATCACCTGATGTAGCCCACCTGATGCAGCTTAGTGGCTAGAAATAAATAGGCTAAGGGTTGCCCATCTGCATTTATCCCATTGGGCTAATCATTAGCTAGATCTCAAATTATAAAGTGTAAACATTAGGCTATCTTGTTCCGAGTTAGCATCATATTGATTACTTGAATGTCCCCCAGAAAATGAAGTTCCACTGGCACTCAGCCAACCAAGGATCATGTACTATGAATACAATGTAGGCCTACCTGTTACACCTGACCGTTGTTACGTTTAGCCCTGGTCTTCCATATGCATTCAACGCCATTGGCCATAAACCATGCCACTGCTGAAAACTCAGGTTCTGAAATGATGCATTTTACTAATTTCCTGGATTTTAGAAATATGTGTAGCCTAGTAACACAAGAAAGCTCCGTGATCCTCTTCTTTTAACAGTGACCATCAAAACTGCTTTCAAAAGTGGGTTTTCCCGCAACTGCATGAAGAATGTACAATGACTGGGCATGCATATTTCTCTCCCTGTGCGGCACTCCCAATTTGAATGCGCCTCAAGATGAATGTTATTTTCTCTCGCATAGAATACGACAGGCTGAACAATTGAATAGGTAAACTATTCTACTATGGGGTTGTCTGATTTTGCTGTTGCTTACTCGTGTTGTTGGCTGTGGGAAATTAAATGTGGACAACAGTTTTTCATTAGATAATTCAAATAGTTTAACGAAAGGTACCGGGTCTCAGCTCTGCCTGGCTCTCATTCGGATCATAGGTGTCGGGTCTCGGACCTGGCGGGACCCGGGTCTCGAACCCAGCGGGACCTGGCCCAATTGAACCCCTGTGTATATCTTCTCTAGAGTGTGTTTTATGGCCAGACACAGACACTCCCCATGCTCCTCCCCCTCCATCTCCTTTACTCTCTGGTGGCCTTGTGATACATTTGGGCTCATGGCTTTTCCCCTTACCCTGCGCTGGCCCCCCGGCTGTCCCTTCTGACCCAGCGTGACTCTGGTTCCATAATTGTGTCACACCCCTGACACAGTCGCCGCACGCTCATTCGGCAGACACCAAGAGTGTGTGGTCGGCTCCGCCAGGACTGCGACCTCACAGGTCCCCCCCTGTTGTCTAGCATGCTGCATTGGAGCAGTAAAATGCACCAGAAAGGCATCGGTCAATTAGCCAACGCTGTCTTGAAAAGAGTGCAAGAAAGGTAAAGGAACTAGCCTGATTACTAGTCAACCCCAGAAGAGGAAGAGAAAGCACAGCACAAGCTTTTTGGTATTCCAATAACATTTCCTCTCTCAAGTATACAAGTCTAGTGAATTGCATAAACAGTTATGTAAATCCAGCCTGTAGTGTTTAACTCACATCGGAAGGACATAAGAATATGTCAACTGCTTAGTGATAGGACAGGTTCTTAGTGTGTACAGTACTCTATATGATCTACATCTGTGTTTGAGTTGGCGTCCCAGCTGCTAGAGGTGACTGTTAGCGTTAGAGAGGGGCGGGCGGTACGGTCCCCCTGGGGGTATTTTGAGAGTGTGTGGGGACGGGGTGGCGTGGACAAATACCTCGCTCCACCTGTTGGCTTTCCAGCTGGGGCATCCCCGGGCTCGGCAGGCCTTTTGTGTCCGGGGACGTGACAGATGACTGCAGTGATCTTCCTCTATTTGGGTTTGGTTATGGTAAACACAGGCTATCTCCCGCTGCTTGGTCCCACGGCCACAGCTCACAGAACACTAGAGAGAAAGAGAGGGAGAAAAAATAAAATGGCGGCATTGAGTGTAAAGATTCTATTGAACACTTTTCCAACAACATTTGGTGAAATAATGCTGATACCCGCTGCTCGAAGCAATGTTATAAAATGTATACAAGTATCCAACACACTGCTTTGCTCAACATAGAGTCTGTCTTCAGTGTATGAGATGGAGATAAACACTCTTGATTTGTTACTGCATCTCATGGCCAAGTAAACAAGCTATAAACCACTTTTCGCTAAACTAATCATGAAATGGATCACTGTAAAGCATCCACTGAAAACCCAGGTTTGAATGGAGTCCCCTCTTTACCCTGTAAACACTGAACTTAGTCTTAAGCCCCTGTGTAGGGCACAAACTAGAGTGAGAGAGACACACAAGCTTAGGAGAGAGAAGACTCACCGAGCTAAAAGACCAGGATGCATGCATATGGCTAGACAATCATCTGGTTTCAATAAGAAGCTGTACAATGCTTCAGGAAAGCTACAGAGAAAAAAAGAATGAAATGAATAAAAAGCAGAGACCCTGATGAGACCAGAGCCTTCAGAAAGCCCCATGCCTGAGATGACAGTCGGTTGGTAGATGAAAATATGATAGATTCTTGCATCTTTATGAGGCCAGACAGCAATTAGAGAGCCAACTAGTTAGGGATAGAGTCCCCTTACACAAAGCCACTCCAAAATGGGGTATTGGAATAAAGTACAACAAGACGATGAGAACTCAGTTTTGTCTTAGCATATTTTCCAGACCAGATAATAAACATAATATTGCATTGTCCTTTAATTATGATCTAAGAATGTTGCATAACACCAAACCAAACGCCATGCATTTTTCCTGTGTCAGGCCTCATGGTAAACTTATGGTGGTCATAGTACATGTTTACATTTTAGTCATTTTGCAGACGCTCTTATCCAGAGAGACTTACAGTTAGTGAGTGCATACATTTTTATTAATTTTTCATACTGGCCCCCCGTGGGAATCGAACCCACAACCCTGGCGTTGCAAGCGCCATGCTCCACCAACTGAGCTATACTCTATTGGACTGACTGTGCTGTGATGAAACTATTTGAGGAAGATTTATTTGAGACAAGTAGACATACTGTAGTGAATTCTAAGAAAAGCTGGTCCTTTTTTAGGTTTGGACAACAGGAGTTGTGGGCATAGGATCTGAAGAAGACTGCTTTTTCTACTAATGGAGGAGAAGCATTCTAGCACTCAGAGAGACACACGTTTGTGCAACACTTGGTGAGTGCACTCTAGTACCCATTTGAAGCCTTCAAACAGATGCATGTCCTGCTATCTTATCTTCTTTACTGTGGTGCCGGCAGTGCTTGACACTGCACACACATATATCGTACACAGTGTAATTACCAAGGTATTTTAAACACAGGGCTCAGCTCAGGTGACATCAAAGCTGCCCGTGTTGACTGACTACTCCTAAACGTGGCAGACTCTCATACCCGCTGCACGCTCACTCAGAAATGATAACACTACTCCCTCCACTTCAGGCAGGAACAGAGACAGGCAATCATGTATGGGCGTGGGGAGGGGGGGGGGGGGGGGGGGGGGGGGGTGTTAGCCCCTCCTTACTGCTGTAAAAGAAGAAGAACAAAAATGAAAAAAGAGCAGGAGGAAGAAAGGAAACCACAGCCATACGGGTAGTGCTCCTCGGCTGAACTGTATCTGCTGCCTGTTTAACGGTGGGGAGAAGACACTATATTGCGACGTGCTCCTCCCTCTCCCCAGCCAGGCTGCCTCATCTGTCAGCCATTAGTTAATCAGGGCGGGTAACGCACAAGGAGCGCAGAAAACTGCCACAGCGCGTGTGACCAGAGGACAGCTTCACCTCAGAGCAGGAGGAGGGCAAGGACACGGGGACGGACGGAGTCCTCAACTCTGCACTCTACTGCCAGGCTAGGGACCGACGGAGTCCTCCACTCTGCACTCTACTGCCAGGCTAGGCTGCTGCCTCACTCTACTCAACACTGGCTCAGGTAAGTCAACTCTCCACTTCAACTGCTCAATTGGCTTATATGTGAATAGCTGCTGGTCTGCTAACTAACATACTGAGGTCAAAAGATAATGTGATTGAAAATGAGTCAATCAAATTAATATGACCGAGGAAGGTTTTAAAGGCTGGTAATGCATAAATAGTGACTGAGCATGGATAACTAAATGCAATGGTCTGATTTTCTCAACCTTATTTTACTAGTGATGCTACTTTAGTATTGCATGTGATCAAAAATGTGTTTTACAGATATCACTGCTGCTTTTATAAAGTTTTAACAAAGAGGAATGTTACTACAGTATCGACTAGAGTGTGGGAATTTCTAACAAAATAGATATGTGGGGAGGGGGAATGACTCAAGGTCACATTCACAGAAAATTAATATGGGACACAAACCACTAAAATGTAAGCATTTACTGTACTGTAAATTACTTTGGATAAAAGTGTCTGCTAAAAGTTGCATATATTATCATTATGAAAACCTTCTTGAAAAACAAAACAAAAAAGAAACAAGCCACAACAGGTCACATGAAAAACGACTTTCTCTCGAGACAGATTTGCCCTCCCAAGTTGTAACAGCAATTCATTTCACATGATTAGGTGGGTTAATTCTAGTATAAGCCAGTGACATTCATCTGGAAATAATATGGATTACTATAGTAGACAGAATGGGATTGTTGCCTGAAAGCTACCACAGTAACATAGCATAGTGGTTTTGTTTAACAATGTTTTTAAACCAGAACGGGAGATGTATTAGACAGAAAGACATAAGCGATGTTTGGCCATTTACTGCATTGTGCTTACAGCTAAGCAGCTTGTTCTTGCTCTGCTTCTTTCCACTGCATTCCTTCTTTTCTAGTGTTTAAGGGTTCTGGAACAGTTGACTTAATCGATTACCAAACCAAACCAAATCCAGCTATTTCATGTTTATTCTGTGTGGCATAAAGACTATACTAGAAAACAGCTTATAGAGCTTGTAGGTAAATAGACATAGAGCTGCCTTTCCTCAACAAAACAATTATCACAAATATGTTTAATACTTTAATGGACTATGGTAGACTATACTGAAATGTAAGCTGCATCAAGTATATGGACAGGTTACCATTTAAAATATGGTGTTGATAAGAGCATGTCTTTGTCTAGGATTGGCAGGCTGTAGTGGCAGGATGACCACGCCCATTCCATCCCAGAGGACAGGTAAGCCAATGGACACATGGAAGCATTTAGGCATAGAGAGACCACGATATTGGGTAACCTATGAGACCATTATCTGTTGTTCAGCCTATTCAACAATGCCACAGCATATGCAACTTCAACAGAAAGAACAGACAAATCCCTACAGAACTACTAACTTTAAATTAGTAGTTCCCTTCAAAAGTTTGTCAGATGTTTTCAAGGCACCGTCCAATTTCCCAAATGTTCTTAAGTACCTATGTTTTCCATTAATTTGGGGTTGAGAAATATAGCTGGATGTGCACAATAAATGGCTTGGGGCGTGGACTTGAAAAACAAAATGTGTGGACTCATTTGACAAACTTTGATTTTGGAGGCTTTTTAGAAATTGTTTATTTCTATTTCATGCTTTCTATGTCCACTCTTTGACTTAAAACCAGTATAGAGCTGTACCTATTTACTGCAATACAATACATTGTGGTCAAATTGTGGTACAAAATGTAAAGATTGAAAGAGTACATAGAAAACGAAATAATGTAATAAAGAAAATCTGTAATATTGTAACTGACACTGGATCAGATTACTGCTACTGAAGGCTTATGCCTTCAACTTCACAGGTGGATTTTGAAGACAACTAATGTAATGTTTAGTAGAAGTGGACTTAACATGGGTTAATACCACCTGTAGTATGGGAGCAGACTTTTCCCCCCATAATGTTTATCCTATATTCACGACCTCTAACAAATACCATATCTCAGAACATGTGCCAAGGCTGAATTCCTATCACGTTGCGGAGTGCTCGCAGATCAAGTGGAATGGTAATACCAAGCATATGATAACCATAGTTACATTGTCTCTTCAAAGGGTATCAGAACTGACCTGGAACAAGAACAAACTCACGATTGTGTGAAGATTGTCCAGAATATTACAATCTGTACTAGCAAACAGATACCCAAATACTATGTATAGCAATTGGCAACAACTTCTTAAAAAAGATGGTCATCTCAGCCATATTGAAGATAATCTAGGTTTATGATCCTCCTAACAACGCAATATGTACACATTTCCCCAGGGCCAAGAAATATCAGTGAACAAGATACACAGAGATAGTAATACTATGATCTCATTACAGCTTTATCAGTGTCACTGTGGGGAAAATAAGATGTTTGCAGAGCTCAGAGGTTAAGACATATGCCAGAGAGCTATCGCAGGCTGCTTTTCCTGTTCAAGGTCCTGTTTTGCAGGGAAGTTTCAAAGACAGAAGTCAAAACAACACATGTTGTCGACGTGAGAACAGCTGGTAAAGGCAGAGCGTTGTGGTGCGGAGGAATGTCAGAGTCATAGATCTTTCATCCTCAAGGCCAAAATAGCCACACACAGGCCTGATCATCTCCATGCATAGGAAGAAATACAACCAACACCTCATACTAACACAAATACAGTCCAGTCCAACCCTGGTCAATGCGGTCCAAATCTTGCATCCAGAAATCATTAGACAATTACTACACGAGTAAGTAGGTTATATTAATTCAAATTAACTGGTATTAACTCACAAATAGGATTTATTCACAAAACAGTTGGTACAAACCAATGACATCAGTATATTTAGGTACCAAAGGAAAAAATAGCGACCTTTCTATATGGGTCGTTCCACAAAATAAATCTATTAAGCTTCCCTTTGATATTTTAAGCAGGAATTGTACACCAATATTGAATTTTAAAAGCATGTTATAGTAAATGAAGTACCCTTTAATATAGACCACATGGTGAATTCAATAAACATCATTTTGTATATGAATAAAGACTTGCTGTCCCTCTGTGCACTCTGTGACTTTTAGGAAGATTTTAACCCACTTAATAAATCATTGTAAAGCCCTAGTTATTTTGTTGTTTTGACAAAGCCATTTCTAAACATTATAATTGATTTCATGTGATTCGTGATTTATTGTAAGGCAAAAAAAAAAAAAGTCCCTCATTTTAAAGTCAACCCAGTGAACTGAACTCTCGTTTTAATATATTGAAACTACTTTTTTTCTTTCTAAATGAAGATTGAACATCTAATAGTCAAATCATAGTGTAAAGGCAGGTGAGCTGGTTCTACTCTTTTTGGCCATTTTCTGGTGTTTCGTGGTGGAAAACTGAGTCTGTTGAGCATAACACATCAACCCTGTTACCCATAGATAGACAGGCTAGAAATGTTTTAACAATTTAAATGTTTTGGTGAAGCTTGCGTTCAATTGCCCCTCCCTGTTGCACACAAATAGGTTCCAGATGTATGTCTGATTTAAGATGAAATCGTCAACCCTGTTACGGTTAACACTTGTACTGTATTTTGCACTTAATAGACACTAGGGCAAAATATCATATCACAAATGTTCTTATTTTTGACAGTATTTGACAGTATTTTGTTTTTGAATAATAAAAATTCTAAATATGCTTCATGAATACTGCATGACCCTAGGGTGGCAACAAATACATTCTAAGTGGTTTTAATGGGGGCTTTCTCTCTTCTGATTGTTTCATACTGATTGTTTTATACAATCAAACTTCAATCAATAATAATTTTCAGCATTTCCATACATTTCTGTATTTCCTTCACTCATTTGTTAAAATGTCAAAATGTCCTATTTTTGTGAAAAGGTAACTATTCCTTTATCAGAATAATTATTCTCCTCTATGACCATGTATTTTGAATCGATTCAATGGAGTTCTTACCTTTGCCACAAGGGGCAGTGTGCCGACTAAGGTGCTTTTGGCACCCGCAAAGCCTCACAGGCAAGTTTCATGGCAAAAAAGTACATGTGCGCACCTTCGGCGCCAGCGCTGCCTAGGCACTATTAGTGGCACAAAATTACATGCGCAACCGAATCTCTTGCTTGCAAATTAGCAGTTCTCAACTGTTAGCAGTCTCTTACTGGCGGTACGAACGGACGATTGCCATAATTTTTCAAGTTTCATCACTCAGGTATTACATTTATGTTACATTTAACAAACCAAACATTGAAAAAAAAACGTTATGTAAGGTAAAGTAAAAATCCAATCCGGTATATAGTAAAATGCGGTTTACCGCCCAGCCCTAATAGGCACTTACTCTAGTCATTTTTCCTTATTTAACCTCTTGGGATAGAAAACATGTTTTCTATTAAGTTGAACATGTGCTCTTCGTGACAGAATGTTAAAATGAGGTAAGTCAACTTTTGGAATGACAAAAAATGACCAGTTTCTCAGCCTGTCCAAACGTCAATGTCCCACTCCAGAAAAACACTGTTAGTGCTCAATTTTGTATTTGTATTTTTTAAGGAACCCCATTAGCTACTGACAAGGCAGCAGCTACTCTTCCTGGGGTCCTGAAACATTAATTGAGCACACCACTGCTGTCTCATAAAGTTATGCCAGGCCATGGTAGTGAACCTGATTTCTGACAGCAAAACAAAAAAGACGGAACAGGCATGAGGTTCGAAATTGACCTTTTAGCCCAGGATTTCCAATGGTCCCTATCCCTGGCAAATTCCATCCTTCCAAATTCTATCCAGCCGATTCTTCTTACTCAACGCCGGTTAACTTTGGGTCTGTCAAAACCCCAAACTCTAGCCTAATGTATTGTAGAGACTAACTCGCAAGCCAATGCCAAGGTGTGCTTTCACAGCCAAGCTACGCTCGCATTCTTTTTTGGTCTGTTTCATTCTGGTCCTGATAATGGAATTGTGCCACAAGACACCAACAGCGTTTACCTTGCGTTTCAACCAAAAAACTAGGAGTCCAGTTACCAGTCAAAGGGCAACATTTTTCTCTCTCAAATAGACAAGAAAAATGTGAAAGTGTTGCATGTTCATTATGGGACGATCCCATTGTTGTTAGAGTTCTTTGTACTTTAGAGGTGGTTGAACGTCAACAACTGCTCCGTGTGTGTCTCATTAACACATTCCTCCAAGCTGAACGCTCTGTTTACACTGCTGGCTTTTATGGGGGTGATGTTGTTGTGTGTCACTGGTGTGTTTACCAAGCCCGCTATGCTATCTCCCTTTGATTTCACCCCCACTACAGCAGTCTTTTAAGATGTGCAACAATGTTCAATCTGCAGCTGGGCTCAGCGGACTCAAAAAGTGGTTTTAAACCTTGAGAATAACTATGTGTCCTCAACAGTAAAATATACACTACCAGTCAAAAGTTTGGACACACCTACTCATTCAAGGGTTTTTCTTAATTTTTTACTATTTTTTACATTGTGCAATAATAGTGAAGACATCAAAACTATGAAATAACACATATGGAATCATGTAGTAACCAAAAAAGTATTAAACAAATCAAAATATATTTTATATTTGAGATTCTTCAAATAGCCACCCTTTGCCTTGATGACAGCTTTGCACACTCTTGGCATTCTCTCAACCAGCTTCATGAGGTAGTCACCTGGAATGCATTTCAATTAACAGGTGTGCCTTGTTAAAAGTTAAGTTGTGGAATTTATTTCCTTCTTAATGCTTTTGAGCCAATCAGTTGTGTTGTGACAAGGTGGGGGGGGGGGGGTATACAGAAGATTGCCCTATTTGGTAAAAGACCAAGTCCATATTATGGCAAGAACAGCTCAAATAAGCAAAGAGAAACGACAGTCCATCATTACTTTAAGAAATGAAGGTCAGTCAATACGGAACATTTCAAGAACTTTGAACGTTTCTTCAAGTGCAGTCGCAAAAACCATCAAACGCTATGATCACTGTCTCTCATGAGGACCACCACAGGAATGGAAGACCCAGAGTTACCTCTGCTGCAGAGGATAAGTTCATTAGAGTTACCAGCCTCAGAAATTGCAGCCCAAATAAATGCTTCACACAGTTCAAGTAACAGACACATCTCAACATCAACTGTTCAGAGGGGACTGTGGCCTTCATGGTCGAATTGCTGCAAAGAAATCACTACTAAAGGACACCAATAATAAGAAGAGACCTGCTTGGGCCAAGAAACACGAGCAAGGAGAGTGATGGAGTGCTGCATCAGATGACCTGGCATCCACAATCCCCCGACCTCAACCCAATTGAGATGGTTTGGGATGAGTCGGATGGCAGAGTGAAGGAAAAGCAGCCAACAAGTGCTCAGCATATGTGGGAATTCCTTCAAGACTGTTGGAAAAGCATTCCAGGTGAAGCTGGTTGAGAGAATGCCAAGACTGAACAAAGCTGTCATAAAGACAAAGGGTGGCTACTTTGAAGAATCTGAAATGTAAAATATATTTATTTGTTTAACAGTTTTTTGGATACTACATGATTCCATATGTGTTATTTCATTGTTTTGATGTCTTCACTATTATTCTACAATGTAAAAAATAGTCAAAAAAATGAGTAGGTGTGTCCAAACTTTTGACTGGTACTGTATATATTTTTCCGTAATAGCAGTGACTACAAAGTCAAAAGACAACTATTATTCCCTGGGTTGGAACACATCATATATTATATTTGCCCACCAATGGCTGCCTCACAGAGTTCAGCACTGTATATTTTTAAGAACCTAGATTTACTCTGGCAAATATGACGCTGGAGGATGATATGGGAGGAGAACTGAACGTTCCGTGATGTAAACGGCGGTGTCTTTTAATCACGAGAGGATGGGAGGGAGACGTTGGAGCTGAATATGTAACATGATGACAGACATGCCAGCCAGGTACCTAACGTGGAACCTGCAGTACAGAACCCAAACCAGTAAAGGTAGAGCCTAAAAGTCTTCGTATAAAGAGTAATACATTGACGTCTATTGTCCTGCTAACTGATGCCACATCAGAAAGCAGCAGTGTAGAGTGTCTATGGTAAGATGTGAGGTGAAACCTGATAAGCCCTACTTTCAAGGGAGATCTGTTACTTTGAGTAGGTTACCACGCTCTTCTAGGACACTTCATCCATCAAACTCTTTCCCACTGAACCAAGTTTAAAAGAAAAAATGTCTCTTTCATAAAGATGGTGTGTTTAATACAGTCCAACTCCCAAGGTACAGTACATCAACCTGATCGCCACCAACAGGCCCCAACATGAATAATCCCCATCACGTCTCCGGTAAAGACGAGGTGAGAGGAACATGCATTTAAGTCCCATTTCAGAGAGGATTCACCCCGTAAGCTTTAGAGACCTTTCTCTCAGATGTGTTGCAATGCCAGTTGAGAAAAAGCAGCCACTCTTCAGAGGGGACCTGTTCCCGATCATTGGAAGAGCCAGGGAAAGCCTGGGTTAAACGCTTCCAGGTTTTTACACTACATCTCTCATTTTAGCCCCCTGCATCCATCCCCAGCTGAAGCGCCAGCAAAACAAATATCTGCCTAAACTAGTCTCTTCCCCTCTCTTGATCTTTCTCTCACTCTTTCTCCCCCTTCTCTGCTCTGTATCCAGAGCTTCTTTGTGGTTGCGAGGTGACTCCTGCTCTCAAATGTTTGGGCCATTTTATTTCATCAGCCTCCGTCACTGAGACTGCATTAGTGGTTATGTCTATATGAGTGAATTCAGAGGACTAGGCCACATACGGTAGAGCCGACTATATATCAAACTCTGAGGTTTGACGTCAACCGTGCTCGATGGCAGATGTCCATAAAGAAAGTAGGGTCACTGGTTTACATAAAATACTTTCTCCACCGCTGACGTTTAATATTTATTTTCCATATGTACCGTATAAATATCTTGTCTATTTCTCTTTCAGTCAAACATGTCAAGATATGCATGTTTTGTTAGTCGATCTGGGATACAAACAAATCAATCTTTGTATGCGAGCCATGTCTTTTGTTTGTCATTTGTTTCTGTTGAGGCCTGGCAACATTATTTAATTGTTCTCTAAATTGCAATAAATTGGAAGAAAGAAAAGCTTGGACACATCAATGTTGGCGGAGAGCATCATGCTATTATTACAGTTGTTTTGGAATGAAATCCCATGCCAAAAACGCATTACTTTGATTTGAAACAGACAGGAAATTGAATAATGGAGAAACTTAAAAAACAACTTCTCTATTTCTCTTCTTTCAATATATACACGTTATGGCTATTCTCCATGTTTTCCAACTGTTTGGCCTTCTGATACAGACTTTATTGCTGCTGTCAAAGCTCTACTTATGTCCAAAGATTTTGCCTCAGATAACATCTAAAAGCAGCATCTGGTTTGGTGCCTCCAAATGCTTAAGCCTCCTGGCATGCCAAATCCTACAAGATACAGCAATCAACTATTGACCAATTCAACTAATGAATTGCATCATTTGGTTTGGTTTAACATCAAATAAACAATCACTAAAGGGCCCAAAATGTAACAGCCTCCTGCTCTGGTTTCCAACATAAGCTATGACAAGAACCATGCTTGAAGAACTGGGACTGAGGGAACCTCCAAGTCTCCAGGTCCTAGCTAGTTCCAGTTGCTCAGTGCTAGACTGGCATATGGGCTGGATCAGGAAACACCAGCTCAATGACGTCACGACCATCTGACCCCAGGGTGACAGGTTTGGGGAATTTGCCTGCAAGTGGCCTCAGGCCAAAGTCAAGTATGTCAATGTTGTGCATGTGTATTTCATTTGAACCAATGCGATCTCTTCAACAGAGATTGCACTCCTTGGGAACCCTCACTCACGGCAGGAAATGGTGTGTTTTCATTAGCAACAAAATAGGCATAAATTACTAAAATGGTGGTGTGTTGGCCAATTCATCACACACTGCATTATTGTTGGTTAATGCTGCTTCACACAAAAAATGTTGCCACTGTTTTTAAAGCAATCATCATTGCTTAAGATGTTTACATTGTTGCTAATCTATTTTGTGTGGAACTTTACTGCTCCCAAACTGTGTTTGACCACCAAAATCTGTGCAATAAATTTAAATGGTTTTCTGTCTTTGGTGAGTCACTCTCTTTGGTATCAGTGAATGCTTACATTACTTGATTGTTAAGTTGGATAAACCCTGACTGAAGAATGCCACAAGACACCATAATCATCTCGCCAGGTAAGTCCATGACAAGGTTTAACCCATACAACTGCCACTTGAGAAAACAAATCCCTTTGTGAAGCATGCCAACATACTCTATATAAGTAGCCACAAAGATTCCAGGAATTACATATGGAGTCATCTGCAGTGCAGCATCTAACTCATTCATGACTGTTTGTTACCGAATACGGTCTTAATGATTGAAATGCTAATCACTGCAAAAACTTTACTATAGCTTAATAAAGTACTAAATTATTTGAGATCACTGACAAGTGAAGAGGCCACCACTCAAGGTAAGGTAAGGTTCAATTATGCCAACCACAATAAATATTTCAGGCAATCCCAAAGCTATGCTATTTCCTCTCTCTCACCAGACAGACCATAAGCCTCTAATAAACGTGGCGTCTCAACAGGACACCACTTGATCCTTTCTTTCAACACGACATTTCACAGAAAAGGAATCTAAACTTCCAACTTGTTTAAATTCATTTTATGTAAATGTTATGTGTGATTCACTATGTAACTGAACCGTTTTGTAAAATAATTACCTCAGGGTTTCAGGTTCATATTTACGCTCAATACACTGACTTCCCTGTCGCTGTATGGGTTATGTTGTATGAAAAATGGTCTATCTTAAATTACTATTAGCATAGCTTAGCATACTGCTTAGAAGTGGTGATGGGAGACAGCATTTGACCGCCCTAAAAAAAAAATCATTTGTACAAGCAAAAAATTGGTTATAGATACATGGCTATTAGAGGCCAGTATAAAAGGTAAAAACATCAACTCCATGGTATAGCTGAGGTATTGGCTCTGCTTCTTTTATTTGTCCTGTTAAAATACCCTCCTCTATATTTGGAAGCATGATAAAATACAACAGAAGGCACAAATTAATCCATCAACAATATTCTATAAAATTTTTCAGGTTTCAATTTCAGACCTCTTCAAATATAACAAGCTTGCCAACATTGATACATACCAATTATTGTTGTAGTAAAACTGAATACTCTGTTGGTCTCCAGCCAAAGGCATTACGGTGAGAGCCCTATTACTACAATTGTATACAGATGTGCCAGTGCCAAAATTTGATTTGGAGTAAGTATGTTTTCTCTTGAGTGTTTGCTAAATAAAATTATTTAAAAAATATATAATAACAATAAAGCCTGCAGTCCGTTTTAGACTATGTGACGGGTGGAAATAACCTTAAAATGATAGGTAGAAATTATACAGACCATATTTACATCAAGCATGTCCCAAAAAGACAGCTAGTGTTTCTGATCATTAGATAGACTGCTCAAGGGAGTGAGGTCAATTGTTGGTCAAATACCAAGGACCACAAACTGAACTACTTTCAACTGAGCCGTGGCTATAGGCTTACGGTGAACAGTACAGTTCTATGACCTCAAGGAGGGATACATACAGACAGGAATACTGTACAGTATGTATTAATGAGCAGTTAGGCTAAGCAGTATAGTTTATGACTGGCTATAGCTTTGATCACAATGATACCACAATATACAGTACCAGTCAAAAGTTTGGACATACCTAGTTATTCAACGTTTTTCTTATTTTTTTTTACTATTTTCTACATTGTAGAATAATAGTGAAGACATCAAAACTGTGAAATAACACATGTGGAATCATGTAGTAATAAAAAAAGCACTAAAAATATCAAAATATATTTTATATTTGAGATTCTTCAAATAGCCACCCTATGCCTTGGTGACAGCTTTGCACACTCTTGGCATTCTCTCAACCAGCTTCACCTGGAATGCTTTTCCAACAGCCTTGAAGGAGTTCCCACATATGCTTAGCACTTGTTGGCTGCTTATCCTTCACTCTGCCGTCCGACTCATCCCAATCCATCTCAATTGGGTTGAGGTCGGGGGATTGTGAAGGCCAGGTCATCTGATGCAGCACTCCATCACTCTCCTTCTTGGTAAAATAGCCCTTACACAGCCTGGAGGTGTGTTTTGGGTCATTGTCCTGTTGAAAACAAATGAGTCCCACTAAGCCCAAACCAGATGGATGGTGTATCGCTGCAGAATGCTGTGGTCGCCATGCTGGTTAAGTGTGCCTTGAATTCTAAATAAATCACTGACAGTGTCACCAGCAAAGCACCCCCACACCATAACACCACCTCCTCCATGCCTTACGGTGAGAACTACACATGCGGAGATCATCCGTTCACCCACACCGCGTCTCACAAAGACGTGGCGGTTGGAACCAAACATCTCCAATTTGGACTCCAGACCAAAGGACACATTTCCACCGGTCTAATGTCCATTGCTTGTGTTTCTTGGCCCAAGCATGTCTCTTCTTCTTATTGGTGTCCTTTAGTAGTGGTTTCTTTGCAGCAATTTGACCATGAAGGCCTGATTCACACAGTCCCCTCTGAACAGTTGATGTTGAGATGCGTCTGTGACTTGAACTCTGTGAAGCATTTATTTAGGCTGCAATTTCTGAGGCTGGTAACTAATGAACTATACCTCTGCAGCAGAGGTAACTCTGGGTCTTCCATTCCTGTGGTGGTCCTCATGAGAGCCAGTTTCATCATAGCGCTTGATGGTTTTTGCGACTGCACTTGAAGAAACTTTCAAAGTTCTTGAAATGTTCCGTTTTGACTGACCTTCATGTCTTAAAGTAATGATGGACTGTAGTTTCTCTTTGCTTATTTGAGCTGTTCTTGCCATAATATGGACTTGGTCTTTTACCAAATAGGGCTATCTCCTCCCCCCCACCTTGTCACAACACAACTGATTGGCTCAAACGCATTAAGAAGGTAAGAAATTCCACAACTTAACTTTTAACAAGGCACACCTGTTAATTGAAATGCATTCCAGGTGACTACCTTATTAAGCTGGTTGAGAGAATGCCAAGAGTGTGCAAAGCTGTCATCAAGGCAAAGGGTGGCTATTTGAAGAATCTCAAATATAAAATATATTTTGATTTGTTTAACACTTTTTTGGTTATTACATGATTCCATTATGTGTTATTTCATAGTTTTGATGTCTTCACTATTATTGTACAATGTAAATAATAGTTAAAATAAAGAAAAACCCTTGAATGAGTAGGTGTGTCCAAACTTTTGACTGGTAATGTACTTATAAGCAGACAGCGACCATTGTTATGAATATGGAACAAAAAGTGTTGAGGACTGAATCTATGTAAGTGATAGCCTATATTGAAGTGTTTATGGTAATATGTTTATGTAAAGAGATTAAAGAGATTGAATAGGCTTGGTTCCAATTAGATATAGACATTGGGTAGTTGCATGTATGGATTACCACATATGCAAGTAATGGACCAATATTATTTTGTGTGGTTTTAATTTATGCTGTTTATGCTACGTTAGAAAGCACACTTTTATGATATTCAGAAAAGCTCAGATTGCTGGCTCTCGATGAGATGTATAGACACATGAGGAGGAACTCATTTTTTTTGTTTAAGAAAGGACATGATTGACATTGATTCATTCCTTTCGATCAACAAATATTGCATTATATATTGTGTATGAAATGCTATAGGGATATAATTAAAACTGAAACAATTATCTTGAAGTTTGTGTCTGAAGTTTGTTTGGCCTGTGTACAACTTTTGGGCGGGGGTTCAGCATGCTTTAAAATGTGGGCGTTTATGTCTCAATACTTTTTGCTCAGTGTAGTATATATTTTAGAACGTATTTGGTATAAACTCAAATCAGATAAGCATATAGAGCACATATGATGCTATTTTCTGTACTATGATGAGCATAAAAAGTAAATGCTCAACAATATAACTTCGAAGTTATGGAGCAAATGCCGTTGCCAAAGAATACAACACTTGCCAAGTATTACAGCATGATGCCATATGGAAAAACAACACAAATGTCACAACCTTTATGTTTCTTTAATATTCTTTACAGTGGGAAAAGCTATTTAAACATGTTTATGTATTTTTCGCATGTGAATGAAATAAATAGAAAAAGATTAACAACATTTGAACACAAAAAAATGAAAGCAAAGCACTGTTGCCCCACAGCACTATCACTAAGCACCTTGGGTAAAAAAGTTGGAGCCGCGAGGGGCGACTGGGCTGGCGAGGCTGAGTAGGAGTCTTGGATGGAGTGAATGTCTTGGGACAGACACAGAGGAAGGAGGAGAGGACAAAAGAGCCCAGAGTGGACCTCACAGGAGAGCTTACGGTCAACACAAACACAGAGCCATTTTGGTAACACTTCAAATTAACTATGTGTCAGAAAGACTTTACCTTGTTGTCACACACATGACATGACACCTTGTGAAACCATGTTTCACTTACTAGTGTTGTTTTATACTGTCGTAGGCACAGGAGGTTGGTGGCACCTTAATTGGGGAGGATGGGCTCGTTGTAATGACTAGAGCGGAATCAGTGGAATTGTGTCAAATACATCAAACACATGGTTTCCAGGTGTTTGATGCCATTCCATTTGCTCCATTCTGGCCATTATTATGAGCCGTTCTCTCCTCAGCAACCTCCTGTGGTCGTAGGACATCAAATACAATATATGTTGACTGGCTGGCTAGCCATCAATCAAGATGTGGTAGTTGGACATGAATTGTATTGAAATGTATGGAGCAGTTATCGGATGCCAGGTCAGGTTCATGATAGCATTACGAAGGTTATGACAGATAGTTCAACCCAAGTGTTACATATATCTAAACTGAAACAAATAAAACATTAAAGCTGCAACAATGAATAAACTATTGTAAACAAAAACATACTTTTCATTTGAAAAATCCTTCAGAAATATAAAAACTGGCCCCAGAAAAAGTGAAACAGCAACAAATGACTACAATATCATGAGAGGTATTTGTGTGCTTCAGTTGGTACGAGATATGCAGATGCCAATTCAGTTAGTTGTATCTTTTGAGCTATCAGACTAAGATGAAAGCCACATCTACAGTAAAAGCCACATCTACAGGAAGTTAATCTACAATACAATTGTAGAGCTTTAAAAACTGGATTGCATAGTTTGATGTTTGTGCACCATAATAGACTGCATTTATCTTGATACTGCATTAACATACAGTGCATTCGGAAAGTATTCAGACCCCTTCCCCTTTTCCACATTTTGTTACGTTACAGATTTATTCTAAAATTGATGAAATTATACTTTTTTCTCATCAATCTACACACAATACCCCATAAAGTGAAAACAGGTTTAGAATTGTTTGCATATTTATTACAAATAAAAAACTGAAATACCTTATTTACATAAGTATTCAGACCCTTTGCTATGATACTCGAAATTGAGCTCAGGTGCATCCTGTTTCCATTGATCATCCTTGAGCTGTTTCTACAACTTGATTGGAGTCCACCTGTGGTAAATTCAATTGATTGGACATGATTTGGAAAGGCACACACCTTTCTATATAAGGTGCCACATTTGACAGTGCATGTCAGAGCAAAAACCAAGCCATGAGGTCGAAGGAATTGTCCGTGGAGCTCCGAGACAGGATTGTGTCGAGGCACAGATCTGGGGAAGGGTACCAAAAAAATTCTGCGGCATTGAAGGTCGAGAAGAACACAGTGGCCTCCAAGACTCTTCCTAGAGCTGGCCGCCCGGCCAAACTGAGCAATCGGGGGAGAAGGGCCTTGGTCAGGGAGGTGACCAAGAACCCTGATGGTCACTGACAGAGCTCTAGAGTTCCTCTGTGGAGATGGGAGAACCTTCCAGAAGGACAACCATCTCTGCAGCACTCCACCAATCAGGACTTTATGTTAGCGTGGCCAAACGGAAGCCATTCCAGTAAAAAGGCACATGACAGCCCGCTTGGAGTTTGCCAAAAGGCACCTAAAGGACACTCAGACCATGAGGAACAAGATTTTCTGGTCTGATGAAACCAAGCGTCACGTCTGGAGGAAACCTGGCACCATCCCTACAGTGAAGCATGGTGGTGGCAGCATCATGCTGTGGGGATGTTTTTCAGCGGCAGGGACTGGGAGACTAGTCAGGATTGAAGTGAAAGATGAACGTAGCAAAGTACAGAGAGATCCTTGATGAAAACCTGCCCCAGAGCGCTCAGGACCTCAGACTGGGGCGAAGGTTCACCTTCCAACAGGACAACGACCCTAAGGACACAGCCAAGACAATGCAGGAGTGGCTTCGGGACAAGTCTCTGAATGTCCTTGAGTGGCCCAGCAAGAGCCCGGACTTGAACCCGATCGAACATCTCTGGAGAGACCTGAAAATAGCTGTGCAGCGACACTCCCCATCCAACCTGATAGGGCTTGAGAGGATCTGCAGAGAAAAATGGGAGAAACTCCCCAAATACAGGTGTGCCAAGCTTGTAGCGTCATACCCAAGAAGACTTGAGGCTGTATTCGCTGCCAAAGGTGCTTCAACAAAGTACTGATTAAAGGCTCTCAATACTTATGTAAATGTGATATTTAAAAAATATATATACATTTGCGAAAATGTCTAAAAACCTGTTTTTGCTTTGTCATTATGGGGTAGTATGTGTAGATTGACGAGGGGGGAAAAACAATTGAATCCATTTTAGAATAAGGCTGTAACGTAAAAAATTTTGGAAAAAGTCAGCTATATGACCTGTGAATAAGTTCAACAATAAAACATTATAGTGACTCTGTACTGAACATATTGGCCAACCTACTGTTATGTCAGTCTGTTAAGAGCCCCTACAGTCAACTAATCACAGTTAAAGACAAAATGACTAATTCTCTGACATCAAAATGGCCGACTGGTGTTTCTATAGAAACCCAACTGTAAACAGCATTTTGATGTACATTTCTCCTTTACTTTAGTGTAGTTTTACAGTAGAGACAAAGTGCTCACCATACAAGGCAAACGTTCAAATTGTTTGTGCCACTATGACCAATTAACACACTTATGAGAAGACAGGAAATGTACAACACGTGTACTGGTGAGGGTGAGAGTCTATTCTGAGGTGATGTTGAGTGTTTTGCGGAACCAGTGATCCCTGTACGATGTTCAGTTTTGTTATACCAGAAGTGGAGAAGGTGAGTGCCTGGCCGTTGTAGCTACTGTACTAGTTAACATGACTTTATGCACCTGATATTTGCCTTGCATAGGCATTATAGCTTTTTTCCTATTTCAGTAACAGTATTTGTCTAAGCATTTCAAATATCTGCCGATTCAAATTTAACCCTAAAATAAAGTGTTATATCTAGACTATCTATAGTGTCCTATATTTACTGTTTTTAATTTAGTTAATTATAATTAATTGGCAGTTAATGAGTTAAAACTTTGGGTGCACACCTTACTACATGAGGGCTACACAGGGATGGTAGAACTGTGAAAACATCTTAAATATAACATTCTAAGAGAGATGACACTATTTTGAAAACTGCATTTCACCCTTAATTTATGAGTCTTTAAAAAAACTATTTTCATAACATTAAAAATACTAACAAAACATACTGTTGTTTTTAAAATATGTTCCTCTGTACAAACTGTCATTGCTTTTTAAATGGTTTTTAATTTAACTAGGCAAGTCAGTTAAGAACAAATTCTTATTTACAATGACGGCCTACACCGGCCAAACCCGGACGACGCTGGGCCAATTGTGCGCCGCCCTATGGGACTCCCAATCACGGCCGGTTGTGATACAGCCTGGAATCGAACCAGGGGGTCTGTAGTGACGCCTCAAGCACTGAGATGCAGTGCCTTAGACCGCTGCGCCACTCGGGAGCCCAATTGTTCATGCGACTTAAAAGATCAGACCGAAAGCACCAGTAGAAATATTAAATATCATATTCAATTATGAAACCTTGCCACTAAAAAATAAAATCATACTGTACAAAGACATACACAAAATACAGTAACAGTCATTTGTTGCTGTTTGATAAAGTAATAATATTAAAAACTCTTATACACAAATATACACTTGTGTACTTCGGTTACAGGGTGAGACAGCAATCACAAAAAAAATGTACTTCACGCTTCACATATGAAATAAATATATTTTGTGTTATTCATTCGCCTCTACAAATATATGGCATTGTTGGACAACATTGTCCTTCTAATTTATAGTTTTAATTTGGAGCCTAAGTTCCAAATGGGAACCATGTGTTTCTGATGATTCCCAATGTGGAGCAGCATTCTGTGTGTGTTCTCCCTCTCCCTTGTTTCTAATCAGCACCATGCCAGTGCAGTGTGGGTGGGCTAGGGCTAGGGCTAGCGCTGATGCTAGCACTCCATTGACTCTCCTACAGAACTCCTAAAACACAGTAAGCTAGCCGCTAGCCTCTAGCTGCTAGTTGCTAGCGGATAGCCATTAGTACACTCCCTGTAATTTAAGCACACCCCCATGTCTACTCACGGTGACGCGCCCCAGTGAAGGAAGAAGTCAAGGAGGAGTTAGGAGAAGAGGAAGTACTATCGTACCGGCTTCCATGGTCGGCGGTGCCAGGATGCGCTGCCTGGGCACAGGTGCAGGTTGCACTGCTCCATGTCGGGAGGCTTGTCCAGGATGTCACAGTTGTGGTCGTTGAGTCTTTGACCGTTGGGCCGCTGGCATACCACCTGGCGTGTCCTCCTGCCTCCGCCACACGTCTGGGTGCACTGAGAGGGGACAAGGGAAGAGGGGGTCACTTAGTATTCAGCAAGACTATAGAGTTAAAGGCAGGCTACCAAGTACAGTATATCAATAGTTCTTCTTTCAGGGCAGGATTAGATGATGAAGAGGTGCAGAGGAAAGGAAGCCACTTTAGACTATTGAGATGCATGCCCAGGAGTCTGAAATGGGTATCTATAGTTTAGTATTGTACTGTATTGTTGTAGGATAGTTTAATAGAAGCAGATCTGTTTAACCTTTTACTGCAGTGGGCTAAATCAGGGTCACACAGTGTTTCTTGGTAGTCTTAAACAAATCTACTTTGAAACAGAAGTATACACCTCACACACATGGTTATGGGCTTAAAAGAAGACACCCGTACCATGTCAGATATAAATGTATTCAATTTTGAGTTTGCATCCCAATAGTACAATTGATATACATCACAGAAGACTGAAATATAACAAAACCGTTTGACATAGAAACACTGGATTTTCTGTAGAAACAAAAAGAACAAAGTATGAAATTATGAAAAATATTAATAACATTCCACCCACTAGGCCACTAGGTCATTTGACAGCAGGAAAGGGACTATGGATGTACGTAGTCCTTGTAGTGCCTGTGTCCTCACCTCTCCCCAGACGCCGTAGTTCCACAGAGGGCAGGGTCCTGAGTCGCAGTTCTTGGACTCGGCAGGTTTGACCCTCTCGTCACAGTGGCTGGTGCTGCGGCCCTCTGCATCCTGACACACCACCACCCTCCTCTGGAAGCCCCCCGCACAAGTACTGGAACACTATGGATGGGCACAGAGTGTGTTACAGACAGAAGGAAACATACAAACACACACATGACCAACTTTGTACAGACTAGCTGCAATCTCAACCAAAGCCAGCTGTGGAGTTACAGTACACTTGGTCCACACATAGATGGAAAACATCAGTCTTAGAAGTATAACGTGACACATAGAACAGCCTTGAACTAGGCCAATTAGTGACACATCACATCCTTGCCGTCTCAGTAAGAGATTTCTACGTGAGATAGAGCAGCACGCAGTTAGACAATTAAGTGAGACAGTGAATGGAGATGGTATCGAAGAGCCAGGGGTTTTTCTTGACCATGTGACCCAACCAGGAAAGATACTCTCCCCTGGTCCTGGTCAGGTGACATGGTCAGGTGACATGGTCCTATGGCTCTGTACATACTCCTCCCCAGGGTCCCGTCCTCCACTGGTTATCTGCCGAGGGGACGTTCCAGCTGCTGTGTCCCGGGTGGCTGGCGGGGTTGTGGGGGCTGTAGGGCTGGTCGTTGGGCCTCTGACGGTACACGGAGGGGCAGGGGGCGGCTGTACACTCCTGCTCTGTGCTGGGCCTCTCGTCCTGATCGCAGAAGGACTCATCCACCTGGTGGTGGTAGTTACTGCACACCACCTGCCTGGTGGCCCGGCCCACACCACATGTCACTGAACACTGGACAGAGAATAGACACAAGGTCATATCACTGAACACTGGGCAGAGAGCAGAGAGAAGATCAAATCATCAGACATTCATAGTGAAAAAGCTCTTCATAAGTGAAGCATTCTTTCAGTAGTAAAGGCAACTTTACTACAAAATAGCTGTTCATATATATTTATACTAATAGAGTTGAAAAAATTACAACTATAACTTACAGGAGACCACTCCCAGGAGCGCCACTGGCCACACGGGCTGAAGCAGGCTGAGGATTCTGGGGGCCGGGGCAGCTGGGCACAGTAGGACTCGTCTGCCACTCCACCCTGGGCATCCCGACAGCTGACGTAGCGGGCACGCTTCCCTTTCCCACAGGACACAGAGCACTGAGACAGGCACACAGAGGAACACATACAAATGTAAGATCAGACGTACAGTAAAAGCATTGTGTCAAACTTTCTCTCTTCTATATCTAATACTACAAATCAAATCAATTCTTATTTGTCACATGCTTTGTAAACAACAGGTGTGTACTAACAGTGAAATGCTTACTTACGGGCCCTTCCCAGCAATGCAGAGAGAAAGAAAATAGAGAAATAATAAAAAAGTAAAACACGTAATAACAAAAGCAATAATAAATACACAATGAGTAACGATAACTTGCCTATATACAAGGGGTACCAGTACCGAGTGGATGTGCAGGAGTATGAGGTAATTGAGGTAGATTTGTCCATGTAACTAGGAATAAAGTGACAGATAGTAAACAGTAGCAGCAGCGTATGTGATTAGTCAAAAAAAGGTTTCTGCAAAAAGACAATGCAGATAGCTAAATAGTTCATAAAATAGCTACACGGACTAACTATTTAGCAGTCTTACGGCTTGGGGGTAGAAGCTGTTCAGGGTCCAGTTGGTTCCAGACTTGGTTCATCACTACCGCTTACTGTGCGGTAGCAGAGTAAACAGTCTATGACTTGGGTGGCTGGAGTCAATTTTTAGGCCCTTCCTCTGACACCGCCTAGTATAGAGGTCCTGAATGGCAGGGAGCTCGGCCCCAGTGATGTACTGGGCAAAATGCACTACCCTCTGTAGCGCTTTGCGGTCGGATGCCAAGCAGTTGCCATACCAAGCGGTGATGCAGCCAGTCAAGATGCTCTCAATGGTGCAGCTGTATTACTTTTTCGAGGATCTGAGGACCCATGCCAAATCTTTTCAGCCTCCTAAGGGGGAAGAGGACTTGTCGTGCCCTCTTCACGGCTGTGTTGTTGTGTTTGGACCATGATAGGTCCTTAGTGATGTGGACCCCGAGGAACTTGAAGCTCTTGACCCGCTCCACTACAGCCCTGTCGATGTGAATGGGGGCGTGCTCTACCCTCCGTTTCCTGTAGTCCATGATCAGCTTCTTTGTCTTGCTGATGTTGAGGGAAAGGCTGTTGTCTGAGCATCACACTGCCAGGTCTCTGACCACCTCTCTATAGGCTGTCTCATCATCGTCGATTATTTGGGCCTACCACTGTCGTGTCGTCAGCAAACTTAATAATTCTTTGAGTCATGCGCTGCCACGCAGTCGTGGGTGAGCAGCGAGTACAGGAGGGGACTAAGCACGCACCCCTGAGGGCCCCCGTGTTGAAAGTCAGCGTGGCGGATGTGTTGTTGCATACCCTCACCACCTGGGGGCGTCCCGTCAGGAAGTCCAGGATCCAGTGGCAGAGGGAGGTGTTCAGTGTTCAGGGTCCTTAGCTTAGTGATGAGCTTGGAGGGCACTATGGTGTTGAACGCTGAGCTGTGGTCAATGAACAGCATTCTCACGTAGGGCAGGTTGGAGTGCAATAGAGATTACGTCATCTGTGGATCTGTTGGGACGATATGTGTTATTGGAGTGGGTCCAGTGTGTCTGGGATGATGGTGTTTACATGAGCCATGACCAGCCTTTCAAAGCATTTCATGGCTACAGATGTGAGTGGTATGGGGCGATAGTAATTTAGACAGGTTACCTTGGCGTTCTTGGGCACAGGGACTATGGTGGTCTGATTGAAACATGTAGGTATTACAGACTGGGTCAGGGCAAGGTTGAAAATGTAAGTGAAGACGCTTGCCAGCTGGTCAGCGCATGCTCTGAGTATGCATCCTGGTCATCCGTCTGGCCCTGCGGCCTTGTGAATGTTAAAGGTCTTACTCACATCGGCTATGGAGAGCGAGATCACACAGTCATCCGGAACAGCTGGTGCTCTCATGCATGGTTCAGTGTTGCTCGTGGCTGGGTTTCCCTTTGTAATCCGGGATAGTTTGCAAGCCCTGCCACATCTGACGAGTGTCAGAGCCGGTGTAGTAGGATTCGATCTTAGTCCTGTATTGACGCTTTGCCTGTTTCATGGTCCGTCGGCGGGCGTAGCAGAATTTCTTATAAGCGTCCGGGTTAGTGTCTCGCTCCTTGAAAGCGGCAGCTCTAGCTTTTAGCTCAGTGCGGATGTTGTCTGGCTTTTGGTTGGGATATGTAGGTACGGTCACAGTGGGTACGACATCGTCAATGCAGTTATTAATGATGTCGGTGACTGATGTGGTAAACTCCTCAAATTGAGTCCCGGAATATATTCCAGTCTGTGCTAGCGAAACAGTCCTGTAGCTTAGTATATCAACTCATACTGGTATATAACAAGTCTCTTTCTACAAGTGTTTGAGACATCACTTCAGCCACTTACTCTGTAACTGTAACTAACTGTATTTGTGTGAATAATTTGTAATTAATTCTCTCTATCGTCATAAAAGACTGCTCCATAAGGTTTTCACCTGGTGATCTTCTAGCTGCACCCGAGCGAACTCAACAGGAGGACATAGTGAACATTACCAAGGGGTAAATACCTAATGCAATCAAAAGGCACCATCTAAAATACACATGTAAATACAGTATCCCAATCGTAATGATGACACCCAATTATCCATGTCTTCACACGAGAGGATGACAGTATCACTTCTGAGGGGAATGTGTGTTTTTTCTGAGGGACCACACTTGCCTCCTCTTAGACATGCGAGCTCACAGCCTCTCTGTCAGGCACACTGATAGTCTGAGATTCATGTTTGAAACACAAGCCTGGTGTTTAGACAGAGATCTGTTTTTCATTTGCACTGGAAAACAATGCAAAGCATTACAGACAGACAGAAGCCTCTTAGCCTAGACCTAAACAAGGCTGACTGACTGCTGAGACTAGGGTGAGGGAGTGTGTGTGTGAAGCAGGGGTGTGCTGCATTCTATAAACCAGTGTACCAGTCTGAGGGGTAGTGATGGTGAGGCAGAGTGAGCTACTGTACATGAGTGTGTATGAGCCTATGGGTGAGTGTGTATGAGCCTATATAAGGGTGAGTGTGTATGAGCCTACATAAGGGTGAGTGTGTATGAGCCTATATAAGGGTGAGTGTGTATGAGCCTATATAAGGGTGTGTGTGTATGAGCCTATATAAGGGTGAGTGTGTATGAGCCTATATAAGGGTGTGTGTGTATGAGCCTATATAAGGGTGAGTGTGTATGAGCCTATATAAGGGTGAGTGTGTATGAGCCTACATAAGGGTGAGTGTGTATGAGCCTATATAAGGGTGTGTGTGTATGAGCCTATATAAGGGTGTGTGTGTATGAGCCTATATAAGGGTTTGTGTGTATGAGCCTATATAAGGGTGAGTGTGTATGAGCCTATATAAGGGTGAGTGTGTATGAGCCTATATAAGGGTGAGTGTGTATGAGCCTATATAAGGGTGAGTGTGTATGAGCCTATATAAGGGTGTGTGTGTATGAGCCTACATAAGGGTGTGTGTGTATGAGCCTATATAAGGGTGTGTGTGTGTGAGCCTATATAAGGGTGAGTGTGTATGAGCCTATATAAGGGTGAGTGTGTATGAGCCTACATAAGGGTGTGTGTGTATGAGCCTACATAAGGGTGAGTGTGTATGAGCCTATATAAGGGTGAGTGTGTATGAGCCTACATAAGGGTGTGTGTGTGTGAGCCTATATAAGGGTGTGTGTGTATGAGCCTATATAAGGGTGAGTGTGTATGAGCCTATATAAGGGTGTGTGTGTGTGAGCCTATATAAGGGTGTGTGTGTATGAGCCTACATAAGGGTGTGTGTGTATGAGCCTATATAAGGGTGTGTGTGTGAGCCGTTGCCGTGCTCACCGTGGTCCAGGAGCCGTATCTCCACTGTGTGAAGAGCTGACCAGAGGTGTCAGGGCGGACGGTGCTGTGTGGAGGAGAGGCCCAGGGACACGGCGCCACCTCACAGTCCTGGCTGTCCCTGGGTCTGGATGCTGCGTTACACTCCCTGTCATCCACCGTGTCACCATACGCCCCTGACACACACCTCACAGCCCGCATCTGGTAACCATGGCCACACGTCACCGCACACTGCAACAACACACAGGAGAGAGACACACAGGGTCAGACAATGGTCTGAGTCTCCAAAAGGATTGACAGTAAAACCTTGGCTGGCACAGAGTCTAGCCCAGCTAAGCCCAGTCTAACTCAGTGTAGTTTAAGCCTACTACCTCCCCAGAAGTCCACCTTACATTTACATTTTAGTCATTTAGCAGACGCTCTTATCCAGAGCGACTTACAGTTAGTGAGTGCATACATTTTTTAAAATATTTTTGTTCATACTGGCCCCCCGTGGGAATCGAACCCACAACCCTGCCGTTGCAAACGACATGCTCTACCAACTGAGCTACACGGGACTACCCCAGATCTCTGCGTGTGTGTGTGCGTGTGTAGGGGTGCACATTTGGTGTTGAGAATGTGGAGGAAGTGCTGCAGGATAGGTTTATTTGAGCAGTAGATTATGATTACATAGGCAATAACAGACAGATACTGTATATACCAGCTCTGATAAATAGAAGTATCTGAGTATCCCGCCCACCAACTCGTTCAGTTGAGTCAATGAATGGTCACTCATTCATTCATTCATTCATTCATCCATTCATTCATTCATTCATTCATTTCAAACTATATCTCCAGACCAGGTGTGCGAATAGTAGAGGTCTTCATGGGTCTGGGTGGACCAGATATACCTGAGACCCGACCCGGGTCTGAAATTCTAACTTTTCCCTCGGGTCAGGGTTGGGTCCTGTTTGATTGTCATCAGGTCTTCGGTCTATGTAATTACAGCTGAGTGGATCAGAACGGACCCGATCACGGCTCTGCATAGCTTATAACATATTTATTTTACGCTAATAAGGTTAATTTATTGACTTATAGACGGCTTAGCCAACATATAAAGACTTACTCGTTAACCAGAAGAGCAACTTGGCAGAAAAACATATTATTTTGTCTTGGGTCCAATCGGGTCTGGTCTAGGTCGAGTTATCCCCAGGTCCATTCGGGTTCGGGTCTGATTGTTCTCAGGTCCATTCAGGTCCCCATTTTTTTATTTTTTATGATTGGGTCCATTCGGGTCATGTCTGATTGCCCTTGGGTCCGTTCGGGGCCGGGTCCAACTTCTTGGACTCGTGAAGACCTCTAGCGTATAGACTGAGAGCATTGGACTAGCAGACTCAGAAGGTGTGTGTGAGTGTATGTGTTCTAAGGCATTGGGGAAACCAAATAGCCTGGTGAGTTATGGAGCGGTGTGCTCTGACTTGAGCTGCCATTTCCTCCCTAGCGCTTTAACTCTGCTCTCATATCCTGTCGGAGTAAATCTGACCCCACACACAGACACACTGACAAACACCACTTAAACACACTGGGAAAGAAGGGGATACACGGTATGTGCAGCCAGACATAAATAACACACACTATAATGTTACATCCTCCAACATTCATTATTGCACATATACTCCTATGCACACACTAAGATTCAAACAGACGCACACCAAGAGTCTGATTCTGTCAGACACACGCACACACAAGCACCCACCCTTACACACACAGACACACAGACCCATCTGGACTCACCGGTCCCCAGACTCCGACCTGCCAGGAGGCACACTCTGGCAGCTCACAGCTCCCCACAGCCGGAGGCTTAGTGTTCGGGTCACAGAAGTGTTCGCTCAGCTTCTCCTCTCCTAACCCCATGCTACAGGACACCTGCCTGTGCCTCATCCCCTTCCCACACGTCACCAAGCACTGGGAGGGGACACAGAGGGAAAGATAGGATGTAGGAGGAAGACTAATAAAGTCAAGTTGGTCACAACAAAGAGCTGTCGATCGACGTTTGAAAAGGTCCTGAGGACGTCTATATATGCCTTTGTCTGCGCTCACCAAAAAAACTAAAAAAAACACACGATGGCACAGCACTGGGCTCAAACTAACGAGGCTCAAAGCTTAACCCTTTGAGTTGTTTCTGTTTTAACCCTGTAACCACGTGGAATTAATGTGTCAAAAATCGACGTTCATCCAATTACGGCAAATTCCGAAGTGAAACTGCGAGATCAGGTTGAATAAAGTATACACAAGTGTTTGTGTGTATGAAGGGCATGTGTGAGTGGGGGAGGGTGATTGTGTGTTATCCTCAAAGTGTGTGTGTGCATGTGTATATGTTAGACCAAATGTGTGTGCTTTCATTGATACGTACAGTGGGGAGAACAAGTATGATACACTGCCAAATGTGCAGGTTTTCCTACTTACAAAGCATGTAGAGGTCTGTAATTTTTATCATAGGTACACTTCAACTGTGAGAGACGGAATCTAAAACAAAAATCCAGAAAATCACATTGTATGATTTTTAAGTAATTAATTTGCATTTTATTGCATGACATAAGTATTTGATCACCTACCAACCAGTAAGAATTCCGGCTCTCACAGACCTGTTAATTTTTCTTTAAGAAGCCCTCCTGTTCTCCACTCATTACCTGTATTAACTGCTCCTGTTTGAACTCGTTACCTGTATAAAAGACACCTGTCCACACACTCAATCAAACAGACTCCAACCTCTCCACAATGGCCAAGACCAGAGAGCTGTGTAAGGACATCAGGGATAAAATTGTAGACCTGCACAAGGCTGGGATGGGCTACAGGACAATAGGCAAGCAGCTTGGTGAGAAGGCAACAACTGTTGGCGCAATTATTAGAAAATGGAAGAAGTTCAAGATGACGGTCAATCACCCTCGGTCTGGGGCTCCATGCAAGATCTCACCTCGTGGGGCATCAATGATCATGAGGAAGGTGAGGGATCAGCCCAGAACTACATGGCAGGACCTGGTCAATGACCTGAAGAGAGCAGGGACCACAGTCTCAAAGAAAACCATTAGTAACACACTACGCCGTCATGGATTAAAATCTTGCAGCGCACGCAAGGTCCCCCTGCTCAAGCCAGCGCATGTCCAGGCCCGTCTGAAGTTTGCCAATGACCATCTGGATGATCCAGAGGAGGAATGGGAGAAGGTAATGTGGTCTGATGAGACAAAAATAGAGCTTTTTGGTCTAAACGCCACTCACCGTGTTTGGAGGAAGAAGAAGGATGAGTACAATCCCAAGAACACCGTCCCAACCGTGAAGCATGGAGGTGGAAACATCATTCTTTGGGGATGCTTTTCTGCAAAGGGGACAGGACGACTGCACCGTATTGAGGGGAGGATGGATGGGGCCATGTATCGCGAGATCTTGGCCAACAACCTCCTTCCCTCAGTAAGAGCATTGAAGATGGGTCGTGGCTGGGTCTTCCAGCATGGCAACGACCCGAAACACACAGCCAGGGCAACTAAGGAGTGGCTCCGTAAGAAGCATCTCAAGGTCCTGGAGTGGCCTAGCCAGTTTCCAGACCTGAACCCAATAGAAAATCTTTGGAGGGAGCTGAAAGTCCGTATTGCCCAGCGACAGCCCCGAAACCTGAAGAATCTGGAGAAGGTCTGTACGGAGGAGTGGGCCAAAATCCCTGCTGCAGTGTGTGCAAACCTGGTCAAGACCTACAGGAAACGTATGATCTCTGTAATTGCAAACAAAGGTTTCTGTACCAAATATCAAGTTCTGCTTTTCTGATGTATCAAATACTTATGTCATGCAATAAAATGCAAAAGTTGAAGTGTACCTATGATAACAATTACAGACCTCTACATGCTTTGTAAGTAGGAAAACTTGCAAAATCGGCAGTGTATCAAATATCAAATCAAATCAAATCAAATTTTATTGGTCACATGCGCCGAATACAACAGGTGCAGACATTACAGTGAAATGCTTACTTACAGCCCTTAACCAACAGTGCATTTATTTTAAACAAAAAAGTAAGAATAAAACAACAACAAAAAAGTGTTGAGAAAAAAAGAGCAGAAGTAAAATAAAGTGACAGTAGGGAGGCTATATATACAGTAAAATAAAGTGACAGTAGGGAGGCTATATATACAGGGGGGTACCGTTGCATAGTCAATGTGCGGGGGCACCGGCTAGTTGAGGTAGTTGAGGTAATATGTACATGTGGGTAGAGTTAAAGTGACTATGCATAAATACTTAACAGAGTAGCAGCAGCGTAAAAAGGATGGGGTGGGGGGGCAGTGCAAATAGTCCGGGTAGCCATGATTAGCTGTTCAGGAGTCTTCAAATACTTGTTCTCCCCACTGTATATAGTTTATAAAGCATGTATATACAGTATTTATGTGTGTGTTATTATGTGTGTAGGAATGTTTATATAATGTGTGTTTATAGACGTGTTTATGTGTGTGTGTGTGTGTGTGTGTGTGTGTGTGTGTGTGTGTGTGTGTGTGTGTGTGCGCGTGCATGTGTGTCCTGTACCTCACTCCACTCGCTGGCTGACCAGCCAGGGCAGGCCTGGTTGTTGCAGCTCTCGGTGACCAGTCTCTGGTAGTCACTACACTCCCTGTCCACTAGTCTCCTCCCCAGATTGTTCATACAGTAGGAGTCCCTAGTACGAGCCCCGCGACCACATGTCTTAGAACACTGCACATGTCACAACACATTAGAATCAGCATTAGATTCACCATTCAACATGTACTGCACAAAAGCCTAACAAAAGCACTGCACCAAACGTATAAAATACCCACTTTTACCTTGAGTCTACATCATGTTTATTTATAGTAACATGGAAGCAAAAGTCAAGTAACATCTGTCATGCATGAGAAGACAAAGAAAATAGGCTTTTTTCAAGACAATGTGCAATAGCATCACATAATGAAAACAAGTATTATAATCATCTTTCACTTAGATGATGTGTGTCTTTGACTGTTGTTTCCACTGACCTGGGACCAGGCGCTGTACTGCCAGCTCTTGAGCAGACAGTCGCCGTGGCAGGCCTCTCTGGCCTGGGGTTTGGGTAGGTCAGAACAGGCCCTACCCTCCACCCTCTCACTCTGCCTCTTCACCGAGCTGTACCTCATACACTGCACGTCCAGAGTCCGGTAGCCAGGGCCACACTTAGCAGAACACTCACTCTTCCCTGCTACATGCCACCTGCAAACAGGCTATATGGGTTAGTTTAGGTTTAACAGATATACAGTGAGAGTGTGTGTGTTTGGTTGTGGTGTGTGTGTGTGTTTGTTTGTATCTACCGGAGTTCACAGTCAGTGTTACATGGCTCAGTGCCAGCGTTGGGAGGGGGTAGATGCTCACAGCGCTGGTCAGAAACCCCCAGGTGGTCACTCTTCCTCACACATGCCGCCTTGCGCCGTCGCTCACCTACACACACACACATCAGGGTTTCTGTTAGGAAAATGTGACCAGGAAGATTTTAATTTATCGGCCATTTGAGAAATTTACCGGACACATAAGCATTGGGTGCATAACCCATTACGTTGTCCACCCACGGTGCTCAGAATGACAGAAATCACATTTAGATTATGGTAATGCATCTTAACAGAACACGCAACTCATGTCATTTTCAAACATTTGCCAAAATGTAATTCGCGGGAAAACACCATTCTAAACAGCGCACCTGATAACGGTTCCATATGTGACTGAACGTAGAAAGAGGGGGAATCTGAAGATGCAACAACTAGGATGGGTTGCTAATATGACTAGGATTGTGCCTTTGGCTTCTGGACAATAAAATAAAGTTGATATGAAAAGCAATTGAACAGGAGAGAAATGGCATAGGGGTCCAATAGAGTCCAATAGATAAGTAAATAAATGTCCCAACATTATATAATTACTCCTGTCTATACAGAAGGAAGTAAAATCATAAAAAATACTTCACCAGAAAGCATGAGTTAGCCACAGAGGAATCGAGGATCATTAGTTTCTTTTTTTTTTAATAGCTGTGGATTGTTTCAAATCACAAGCTCGTAGGCCTATGCCTATTTGGGAAGCCGCAATTTGGGCAGTGCGCGCGGCAATAGATTTAGCTGATTATTGAGTTGCGGCTGTCAGTGAAAACATCTAAAATATGTGTGAAGATAATGTGTCTTGAGTATAATTTAAAATGTTGAGACAAGAAGGGGAGGGGAGTCTCTCCCCAGAATGGCTCAGCTGACTCCCGCCAATTCTTGTGCATTCATTGTTTCATTGTCATGAGTAGTAAATGTACCGTTAATCCCCATCATTTGGTTACATACATTTACTATTCTCAATCTCTGAGTGGAAACGTTGTTTGCAGAGTTCACAACCTGCTAAACTTGTGAGAAACAAGTTTTTGTTTATTTCATAACCAACATTTCCGAGATTTGTCATTTTTAAAATTATATTTTGTTTGGACTGCTCCATGTGAGCAATGAACATGTGTCTGGTTTCTCTGTCCTCATAATGTTGAGGGAGCACGCGCCTGAGCACGCATAGAAGTACCTGGACTGCTGCGCGGAAATGTAGGAAAGTGTTTTTTAAACATCCATTATGAATGATATATTAAAACCATAGTTCCTCACAGTAAGTCTTTCCAACAATCTCCCCCTCAATAATCACCAATCCTCGTTGTGAAAGAGCAATGGAAGTTATAGGCCTACTGCTGCATTGGCCTATAGGCTATGAGTTCAACGCCCTCATTTCTTTAGCCGCCAATGGATCACGGTGTTTCAATGTGTCCATATGGCATTTTAATTCAGATTTTTATGATTAACCACGTGACAATGATTTTGAGAAACGAAAACACTTATTGAAATGAAACAGTTTCACGAAAATGTGCATATGAAAATCATAACAGGCACGCAGAATGGTAAAAATGGTAGGATAAATTGTAAGCTTCCCAAAACTTGAAACTCACGCGCCGCCTATGAAGTCTTTATAAAATAATTGCCTCCATGTTTCCATGGTAGGATGTTGCCTATTGGCTACTTTGAAGCAAGGTAAGACATGCCTCATAATATGAAATAAAACATTCAGGTTTCAAACAGTTAAGTATGTTTTCAAAATGCATACTGCCTCCAGCTCCCATTGTAAAGTGGTGGGTGACACGCTGATAGCCTGTTGCTTTCACTTGAATGGTGAATGGGACATGCGCTTTAATTAACCAGTTGAGAAATACAAATAGTAGCTCTTTTTAATCGTGCACCAAAACAGTTTTGAAACACGAGATTGCATTTAGAATTGCATTTAGAGTTATACGAACAAATATGAAAATGTATGCACTCACTACTGTAAGTCGCTCTGGATAAGAGCATCTGATAAATTACAAAAAATTTAAAATGTAAAAAAAGAATTGCTCAATGAATGGGCTTATAAAAGCACATGTTTTCCTCCAGCAGCAACCAGCTGAGGAGCAGCAGGAGAAATCCAGCTCAAAATAGTATCTGTGCACATGTGATAGTTGTGTTGGATAAATAAGATACATGATAACTAACGAAAATACACACAAGCCAATTTAATTCCACTAATTTATGTAAATTAGACCGATAAGCATGATGGCCAAATGTATTTCCATCTACTGGTATTTCCATCAATGAATAAAAAGCATTATTTTGCAATGGGATTTATTTTTCTACTGGTCATATTGTCTTTAAAAATTAAATAGAAATCGGCCAAAAGCTAGCAATTGCCGGACACACATAGGCAAGGTTTGAATTAGACCCCATCTGGCTAAAGGATCGACTGCCAAGGATCAACTTCCTGTCATTTGGTCCCAGTCCTAATGGTCTTAGTAGGGCTGGGATCAAACAGTTTCAACTGGATCCTGCTAAGGATACTGTATGATCTGAGACAAAGGAAGTATCAGCCCCTGCTTCTAGGCTCAGGGGGTGGAAGGTGTACTGCAGGAGTCCCCAATTACATTCAGCCATGGTCCGGTATTTTCTTGAGCATAGTTACAAAGCATAGTTATAAATAATTTGTACACTGCAAACTGACCACAATAATGCCAAACAGATATAGTATTTGACAAAAACAGAATAATTTAAAAACTTGATAACATGGGATACGATCACGTGCCTCTGTATTTATGCATGGGAATACTTGGAAACAGATTTCCTAAATTAAAATTACTTTGAGCTCATTTCCTGGTTATTTTACAGACTGTTTTGTCCAAGAACAAAAATACTGTTTTTGGCCTGCAGGCCGCCTAGATTAGATTAGATGAGTTTATTAGACACATGCACAGGGTCGCAGATGTAATCGCAGGGTACAGTAAAACTCTTATGCACTGAGCTCCAACAGTGCAGGTTAAAAAAAAGAAGTGAATGAGACAATAATAATAATAATAATAATAATAGTAGTAATATACACTGAGTGTACAAAACATTAAGAACATGACAGACTGACCAGGTGAATCCAGGTGAAAGCTATGATCCCTTATTGATGTCACTTGTTAGAGGAGACAGGTTAAATAAGGATTTTTAAGCCTTGAGAAAATTGGGACATGGATTGTGTATGTGTGCCATTCAGTGGGTGAATGGGCAAGACAAAATATTTAAGTGCCTTTGAACGGGATATGGTATTAGGTGCCAGGCGCACCGGTTTGTGTCAAGAACTGCAACGCTGCAGGGTTTTTCACGCTCAACAGTTTCCTGTGTGTTTCAAGAATGGCTGTTTTGAGGGCAAAGGGGGGGGGGGGGGGGGGGGGGGGGGGTGTAACTCAATATTAGGAAGGTGCCAGGTTTCCTCCAGAATTGACGCTTGGCATTCAGGCCAAAGAGTTCAATCTTGGTTTCATCAGACCAGCGAATCTTGTTTCTCATGGTCTGAGTCCTTTAGGTGCCTTTTGGCAAACTCCAAGCGGCTGTCATGTGCCTTTTACTGAGGAGTGGCTTCCGTCTGGCCACTCTACCATAAAGGCCTGATTGGTGGAGTGCTGCAGAGATGGGAAAACGTTCCAGAAGGACAACCATCTCCACAGAGGAATGCTGGAGCTCTGTCAGAGTGACCATCAGGTTCTTGGTCACCTCCCTGACCAAGGCCCTTCTCCCCCGATTGCTCAGTTTGGCCGGGCGGCCAGCTCTAGGAAAAGTCTTGGTGGTTCCAAACTTCTTCCATTTAAGAATGATGGAGGCCACTGTGTTCTTGGGGACCTTCAATGCTGCAGACATTTTTGGTATCCTTCCCCAGATCTGTGCCTCGACACAATCCCCGGAGCTCTACGGACAATTCCTTCAAGCTCATGGCTTGGTTTTTGCTCTGACATGCACTGTCAACTGTGGGACCTTATATAGACAGGTGTGCCTTTCCAAATAATGTCCAATCAATTGAATTTACCACAGGTGGACTCCAATCAAGTTGTAGAAACATCCCAAGGATGATCAATGGAAACAGGATGCACCTGAGCTCAATTTCGATTCTCATTGCAAACAATCTAAATACGTATGTAAATAAGGTATTTCTGTTTATATTTTTTAATACATTTGCACACATTTCTAAAAACCTGTTTTCGCTTTGTCATTATGGGATATTGTATGTAGATTGTAGATTTATTTCATCCATTTTAGAATAAGGCTGTAACATAACAAAATGTGGGAAAAGTCAAGGGGTCTGAATACTTTCCGAATGCACTGTATATTCTATTGGGGAACCCTGGTGTGCTGGGATGTGATCAACCGGGTCAGAGCAGAGGGGCTGCAAGGACACATGGGTAATTGGGTGGACGACTATGACCTTACCCTGACACATGCGGCTGCACTCCAGCCAGGAGCCCGAGGGGTCCCACACAAACTGTTCCCTGTGCTCCTCGATGGGGATATTGAACGAGTAGCGCACGTCTGGGTTGTACAGGTTCCCCACACACAGGACCTAGGGCAACAATGATAGGGGGAAGAGCTTTAACAATATAGAAGGAGAGATGGGGAAGGAGAGGGAGAGAGACAGACAGACAGAGAGAGAGAGAGAGAGAGAAGTCAGCCTTGCCTGTAGGATGAGTTCCACCTCAATGCGTTCAGTGCAGTTGATGCGCTCCTCTTTGGTGTCTGAGCCGCTGTACTCAATGACGGTTCCCTTGAAGGTGATTTCCCTTTTGAACATGGCCACCACAAAGTTTCCATTCAGGAGAAAGTTAGAATGGCTGTCAGATAAAGCTGAAAGGAAACAAAAAAATAGAAAAAATAAATAGAAAATATAGCCTCAACACATTTGACTTCAAACCAATAATGTTCTGCAATGCCATAGTTGCATGGGGGTAAGTAGAAAAATTGGTGGCTCCAAATTGCAGTAATTTGGAGCTAGACTGCATGACGCTCCTTACTGACTGACATTACAATGCTAACAAAGTAGCCTACAAATCAAAACAAGTGCATAAAAGCACGCACAAACACAAAAGACAAACGCACACATGCTGAACCAACCCTCGTATACACACTAACAACAAAACACCAACTAGCTACCCCCTTCAACACACACAAATTATGGTCCTGAGAAATATGTAGTAATTACAATGTGAGAGAGCCCATGTTGAAACAATGTGTGTGATTAGGTCTCCAGTGGCTCTCGAAAACCCTTTCAGCGATTAGCTTTGCCCACTGCTGGCCATGTGAACTACAAAACCGATCGCTTGCGATCGGTTTTCGAAACATATGGCCCTTATCTTTCAAATCAGTGAGAAATAATCTTTCAAATAAAAAAGATACACTTACTGCCCTAACTCTATACAGGTGTGTAGTAATCTAAACTTTTATTTTATTTATTATTATTTCTTGCTGACATGAAAGATACGTTCCTTATGTTTCCAAAACCGTACCGCAAGCGATCCGTGTCAACGTTTAGAGCAGGCGTCGGGCCTCTTAACGAAAGGCCCCCAGGAAGAAGATACCTTCATTAATAGGTGCTAAAGGTAGTTAGCGTCTATGAATGGGCATTCCAGTAGGGTGATGGGCATTTGAAATAATTTCATTATTTGTGAAATTACAAGGTGTCTGACACGGGAGGGAGAGAGAGAGAAACAGTAGCCATACCGACTCGTGTTAGTTAGACTAACTTGTAGATGCCATAGGTTACCAATCATCCCACCTGGTTGTGCCTGTCTTTACTGAATCAAATCAATGTAAAGAAGCTAGCTAAGATAGCCAGCTAGCTAGGTGAATTGAGGCTATTTTGCTATGCTCCCCGTCCTTGTCTACAATAACTCCATCCAGATTAAACAGCAGCCTACCTGTCGGTTGCTCGTTGTAGCATACTCCTTCTCATTTAGCTAACTTAATTCCGTAATTTTAATTATATTTTGCTTTGATTAGAGATCTTCCACTCCACGTTGCTTGCTACACATGGAGCCTTTGACGGTAGTGCCACTTTGATTGGCCGACAATAACAACAAGCTACACGCGTGAAACGTGTGTAGGCTAAGGTCGGCTATTGTCTCATTCCTCTGCCCAGGCATTGCTGACGTATGCCAGATCTTACAATGCCTGGATATGCAGAGCTACTTACAGTTAGTGAGTGCATAATTTTTTTTTTTTCATACTGGCCCCCCGTGGGAATCGAACCCACAACCCTGGCGTTGCAAACACCATGCTCTACCAACTGAGCTACACGGGGCCCAAAATGGGAATCAGTCTTACATATCAGCTAACCACATATGTTATAGCAATCTGGTGCCCAAGGCACAGTCAATGACTGGCATGCAACCACTGGTTGATGCATGCAATGGCTGAGCAGGGGAACGCGACATGCCAGATCTTACAAGGCCTGGATAGATATTTCAAGTCTCAGCTAACCACATCATATGTTATAGCAATGCATGCAACGTCTGAGCAGGGAAATGTGACTTATGTCTTTTTATGGGGTGCACGGCATAAAAACTACACTCAAAAGTTTGTTGTTTTATTAAATGAAGAATTTCAAACACACACACACACACACACACACACACACACACACACACACACACACACACAGCCATTGCCATGGTCCATCTCACCCAGCCCCTATCTACTTTCATCAGGCCTGGTTACACATGCCTCTAATTAGCACCTATTCTACACTCATTCATCATCCTCTCATTCTGCCACTCCGTTTGCTTTCCCAGTTATCCCTTATGACCTGACTATATGGGCCCACGCCCCGCCATGCTTCCTCCATATACATTCTGACTGGTATAAATGACCAGTGGTTTGGCATTAGTTCATACTTCCTCACCCCCTTCCTCACCTTGTCCCTACAGCTGAGGTCGCTGGTGGGTAACCATGTTCTGACCAATGGCTTCAATTTGATAAAGGAGGGGGAGAATCACATTGACCTATTGTATGATGTCCACCATTTAAAGGGGCACCAATACAAATCGCTATAAGCCTCTATAGTTAGAAATAATTGGTAATAAACTGGCTGTGAGTGAGTTGGCCTTGTGTGAGGCAGTGGCGAACTAGTGACACCATCACACATGAGCACAGGGGACTGAGGTGACATCCAGAACAGTGAAGACACACACACGTACACTCACACACGTACACACACACACACTCACCGAGGTAGTTGTCATCCTCCGGCTTCCCAGAGTAGCTGACCTGTTTAATATCGATGTTGGTGGCTCCTGCAGGGATCCGAACCACTGTGTTGTAACCTGGATGGAGAGAGAGACAGAGAGAGAGAGAGTGTGTGAGAGAGAGAAAGAAAGAGAGAGATGTAGTTTATGGTGAGAAAGCTAAGGGCAATCATAACAGTCCCAGAGCTCCCAGTACTGAACAGAACAGTCACACGTTGACTTAATGGCTTCATTATGCTGTAGGATTCAGGATCTGTGATCTGGCATGGGAAGGGAAGGCGAGCTCTAACCTCTGGGATTAAAATGTCACACTTGGAAAAATAAGAGGTGCTCTCAAATAACCTGTAGAAGGTTAATTTCACTCACAGAGGCCCACCCGTGAAATAATATGTAATTACTCCCCGGCCCGGCCCGGTCCGGCGATTGCCCTGTAATTTCCCTGGGTCTGTTCCATGACAGACCGACATGGGTAGAGGGAAGAGGAGAGGAGAGAGGAGAAGGGAGAGAAAATAGGTGAATGGGAAGAGGGAGGAAGAGAGACTGAGTAGAAGAGAGGGAAGAGGTGAACGGGAAGAGGGAGGAAGAGAGTAGAAACAGAACAGGAGATAGCGGTGAAAGGGACAAAGAGAGAGGTGGAAAGAGGGGAGAGAACTAGGAGGATGGAGTTTGAAGACATATTGGAGTGAGGGGAGAGGAGAGCAGTCAGAGAGGAAAGGGGTTGAAAGAGAGAACCGGATTAAAGAGAGGGGAGAGAGGGGGAGAAAAAAGGGAGAGGGAAAGAGGGGTGAGAGTGGAGAGGAGAGAGAACGGCCTGGGCCACTCAGGGGCAGCACTACTAAAGGTTATCTCGCGTCACACCGACCAGCCGACTGGCCAACCACACACTCCAACACACACTTTATCCTTCAATCTAGGAGCATTGGAATAATCAATCATTACTCCCCAGTCCAAGATCCGCGGTCAAGCGATCCCCAGGGCAACATTACCCATAGGCTACATTCGGTGGTCAGTATTGTTGATTGAAGTGCATTGTCTATGTAGTCAAAGTAATAGGTCCATAACCCTTATATGCTACAGTAACTCTGGTACCACAATAAAAAAATATTCCAGCAGCAACCAAAACAAAAAGAGGTCATTTTTGCTCTAAATTCTAAACGACATAAAGTAAAATCAAATCAAATCAAATTTTATTGGCCACATGCGCCGAATACAACAGGTGCAGACATTACAGTGAAATGCTTACTTACAGCCCTTAACCAACAGTGCATTTATTTTAAATAAAAAAGTAAAATAAAACAACAACAAAAAAGTGTTGAGAAAAAAAGAGCAGAAGTAAAATAAAATAACAGTAGGGAGGCTATATATACAGGGGGTTACTGGTGCAGAGTCAATGTGCGGGGGCACCGGCTAGTTGAGGTAGTTGAGGTAATATGTACATGTGGGTAGAGTTAAAGTGACTATGCATAAATAATTAACAGAGTAGCAGCAGCGTAAAAAGATGGGGTGGGGGGTGGGGGGTGGGGGTGGAGGGGCAGTGCAAATAGTCTGGGTAGCCATGATTAGCTGTTCAGGAGTCTTATGACTTGGGGTAGAAGCTGTTGAGAAGTCTTTTGGACCTAGACTTGGCACTCCGGTACCGCTTGCGTGCGGTAGCAGAGAGAACAGTCTATGATAGGGTGGCTGGAGTCTTTGACAATTTTGAGGGCCTTCCTCTGACACCGCCTGGTATAGAGGTCCTGGATGGCAGGAAGCTTGGCCCCAGTGATTTACTGGGCCGTACGCACTACCCTCTGTAGTGCCTTGCGGTCGGAGGCCAAGCAGTTGCCATACCAGGCGGTGATGCAACCAGTCAGGATGCTCTCGATGGTGCAGCTGTAGAATTTTTTGAGGATCTGAGGACCCATGCCAAATCTTTTCAGTCTCCTGAGGGGGAATAGGCTTTGTCGTGCCCTCTTCACGACTGTCTTGGTGTGTTTGGACCATGATAGTTCATTGGTGATGTGGACACCAAGGAACTTGAAGCTCTCAACCTGTTCCACTACAGCCCTGTCGATGAGAATGGGGGCGTGATCAGTCCTCTTTTTTTCCCTGTAGTCCACAATCATCTCCTTTGTCTTGGTCACGGTGAGTGAGAGGTTGTTATCCTGGCACCACATGGCCAGGTCTCTGACCTCCTCCCTATAGGCTGTCTCATCGTTGTCGGTGATCAGGCCTACCACTATTGTGTCGTCGGCAAACTTAATGATGGTGTTGGAGTCGTGCCTGGCCATGCAGTCATGGGTGAACAGGGAGTACAGGAGGGGACTGAGCACACACCCCTGAGGGGCCCCCGTGTTGAGGATCAGTGTGGCAGATGTGTTGTTACCTACCCTTACCACCTGGGGTGGCACTTCAGGAAGTCCAGGATCCAGTTGCAGAGGGAGGTGTTTAGTCCCAGGATCCTTAGTTTAGTGATGAGCTTTGAGGGCACTAGGGTTTTGAATGCTGAGCTGTAGTCAATGAATAGCATTCTCACGTAGGTGTTCCTCTTGTCCATTTGGGAAAGGGCAGTGTGGAGTGCAATAGAGATTGCATCATCTGTGGATCTGTTGGGGCGGTATGCAAATTGGAGTGGGTCTAGGGTTTCTGGGATAATGGTGTTGATGTGAGCCATGACCAGCCTTTCAAAGCACTTCATGGCTACAGACGTCAGTGCTACGGGTCGGTAGTCATTTAGGCAGGTTATCTTAGTGTCCTTGGGCACGGGGACTATGGTGGTCTGCTTGAAACATGTTGGTATTACAGACTCAGTCAGGGACATGTTGAAAATGTCAGTGAAGACACTTGCCAGTTGGTCAGCACATGCTCGGAGTACACGTCCTGGTAATCCGGCTGGCCCTGCGGCCTTGTGAATGTTGACCTGCTTAAAAGTCTTACACACATCGGCTACGGAGAGCGTGATCACATAGTCATCCGGAACAGCTGGTGCTCTCATGCATGCTTCAGTGTTGCTTGCCTCGAAGCGAGCATAGCAGTGGTTTAGCTCGTCTGGAAGTCTTGTGTCACTGGGCAGCTCGCGGCTGTGCTTCCCTTTGTAGTCTGTAATAGTTTTCAAGCCCTGCCACATCCGACGAGCGTCAGAGCCGGTGTAGTACAATTCAATCTTAGTCCTGTATTGACTCTTTGCCTGTTTGATGGTTCGTCGGAGGGCATAGCGGGATTTCTTATAAGCGTCCGGTTTTGGGTCCCACTCCTTGAAAGCGGCAGCTCAGTGCGGATGTTTCCTGTAATCCATGGCTTCTGGTTGGGGTATGTACGTACGGTCACTGTGGGGACGACATCATCGATGCACTTATTGATGAAGCCAGTGACTGATGTGGTGTACTCCTCAATGCTATCTGAAGAATCCCGGAACATGTTCCAGTCTGTGCTAGCAAAACAGTCCTGTAGCTTAGCATCTGCGTCATCTGACCACTTTTTTATTAACCGAGTCACTGGTGCTTCCTGCTTTAGTTTTTGCTTAGAAGCAGGAATCAGGAGGATAGAGTTATGGTCAGATTTGCCAAATGGAGGGCGAGGGAGAGCTTTGTATGCATCTCTGTGTGTGGAGTAAAGGTGGTCTAGAGTTTTTTTTCCTCTGGTTGCACATTTAACATGCTGGTAGAAATGAGGTAGAACGGATTTAAGTTTCCCTGCATTAAAGTCCCCGGCCACTAGGAGCGCTGCCTCTGGATGAGCATTTTCCTGGTGACTTATGGCCTTATACAGCTCATTCAGTGCAATCTTAATGCCAGCATTGGTTTGTGGTGGTAAATAGACAGCTATGAAAAATATAGATGAAAACTCTCTTGGTAAATAGTGTGGTCTACAGCTTATCATAAGATACTCTACCTCAGGCGAGCAAAACCTTGAGACTTCCTTAGTATTTGATTTTGTGCACCAGCTGTTGTTTACAAATATACACAGACCGCCACCCCTTGTCTTACCGGAGTCAGCCATTCTATCCTGCCGATGTAGCGTATAGCCCGCTAGCTGTATGTTGTCCATGTCGACGTTCAGCCACGACTCGGTGAAACACAAGATATTACAGTTTTTAACGTCCCGTTGGTAGGATAACCGTAATCTTAGGTAATCCAATTTATTCTAAAATTATTGAAGATTGGCTAATAGGATTGATGGGAGAGGCAGTTTACTCGCTCGCCGTCGGATCCTTACAAGGCACCCCGACCTACGTCCACGATATCTCCGTCTCTTCCTCATGCGAATGACGGGGATTTGGGCCTTGTCGGGTGTCTGTAGGATATCCTTTGCGGCCGCCTCGTTGAAGAAAAAATCTTCGTCCAATACGAGGTGAGTAATCGCTGTCCTGATATCCAGAAGCTCTTTTTGGTTATAAGAGATGATGGCAGAAACATTATGTACAAAATAAATTACAAATAACGCGGTCCTCTGTAGCTCAGCTGGTAGAGCATGGCGCATGTAACGCCAAGGTAGTGGATTTGATCCCCGGGACTACCCATACACAAAAAAAATTATGCACGCATGACTGTTAGTCGCTTTGGATAAAAGCGTCTGCTAAATGGCATATTATTATTATTAAAAACACACATAATAGTACAATTGGTTAGAGGGCTGTAAAACGGCAGCCATCTTCTCCGGCGCCATTCTCATGAAGTAGTTGGTAAACAGCAACTGCTGAAGAGTGTTGATGACAAGTCAATTCAAACCCATTCACTTCAGTGCTAAAAACAAACAGCAGCATAAATGTCTCTTCTGTGCAGTTAGGTTTTAAGTAGCATGTTAAATTCCCTCTCTAACCAGTGAATACAGCATAAGCACATAAGTACAAGGACTAGGTGAACTGTGTAATCCGCATACCAGGTCCCCTTAGAGAAAGCCACAGTGCCTCCACAGGCCATCGAAGCCCCCGAAACAACCATTGACCACACATACAATCGAACGCAACCGCAGGGCGACCGCGGAATGTAAACACAGTCCTCCAGGAGAGACACCCCTGTGCACCCTGGGATAGCTGAGCCTGGCTGGAGAGACGGAGAGGGAGGAGGGAGAGAGAGGGAGAGGCTAGGTCACAGCTTGGTTTGGTTGTACTTGCTTGGCTCAGGACTCCTCGGTACATACACAAGCAGAGGAATGGACAGATAGAGACAAAGAGAAGCGAAGAACAAAACAAATATTGAGTAAACATAACCGGAGCCATAACCATGGTCATTTCTGCTCATGTTATTTTTTTTATTTTGCAGCTCAGACTTGAAGGGGATTGGATGTAATTAGCGATTGGCCCGGGATGAGATATCATACTAATCATGAGTTCGAGGGGGTCAGTTTGAGAATTCCAGAGTTTACCTGGGCTTTCCACAGGTTTGGAGACTTTTTTAGGATATCCGTTATGCAAAGCATTGTCCCAAAGCAAAAGGAAAATAATCATTGCCTTCACTAGCATCCAAAAGTTATGTCATAATTCTGTGGTCATTTATGCAGTATCCAAGTGTCAAATAGTTTATGGCAAGCGTATTGTATTTCACCTGTTCATTGACAATTGTTGTTGTGAACAGTGTGCAATATCTGCTTAAGTATTTTGGAATACAGGGAAACAGAAGAAAGGCATCCAGGCTTACCATACTCTGCGTCGTTGAAGGTCCCTGCAAGGGTTTTGCAGGAGGAGTTGTCCCCTCCACACACTCCACACTTGTCATTCTTCGCCTTGGAGTTCAACACATGGTCACAGCCTGCTTGCTGTGGAAACACACAGAGACAAACCAATCAGACATGGGGTCACACAGAGACATACCAATCAGACAGGGGGTCACACAGACACACACCAATCAGACAGGGGGTCACACCAAGGGCTATCTCTATCATCAGTGGTCACAAACCTTCACTAAAAATAGATGTTGTTATACTCAATCTAACATCCACAAAACTACAGCTTTCTCTTTGAGAAGGCAAAAATATAAGGTTAAACTTGTATGTGTGTGTGTGTGTGTGTGTGTGTATACTCTGATACAGAAGGTCAGCATAAGCAACATTTCACAACATTGTAAGTGATATGCTGATATAGACAGACACATCTGAGAGAACATATCACTGTGTAAGCTAGCTGTGTTTGATACACAGTGTTGACGTTAGGGAGTACAGTTACCCGACAGAGGCCTTGAACACAGATGTCGTAGGTGTCTGGGCCACATGGTGTGCCGTCGATGACGCGGTCCTTCAGCTGATAGTAGGCCATTGTCCCGGTAACCCGACAGAAGAGCTTGCACCGATCCTTCATTAGAACTACAGAGGAAGAAAAGAGAATAGATAGAATAAAAAATAAGCTATCTTTTCAGAAGAAAAAACAAACAAACTATGGAGTATTTTTTTTATGTGACATATTATAGTGAAACACATAGAAACAAAAAAAAAAAACAGTATCTTACACTATAAACCTACTGTTAGCGAGGCAAAAAAACCACCCAAAAACGTTTTATCCACAATAGTACCGCTATTTACATTTTTGCTAGGGTCAGCTGTTAGCTTTGCTGAAATACCAACATTTCTATCAGTTATTTGGAAATATCCCATTCTGCTTGACAGCATTTTGGCCTCTGTGTTCGGTCAGTTTGCTTGTATAACATTGTATTGTGACAGCTTGCGGTTACTTCTTCGAAATCATCAACACTGCGCCAAAGCCCTGTCTCCTTTGCCAAATGGCCACTAGTCCAGCAGAGCTAGCTATCACAATAATTATAACAACGCATGAGGTATAGAAGAGGGAAGCTATCCAGGAGCTTATTTTGGTAGAATTGAATGTTTCTATAGTGTTGAATACTCTGTACATTCATCCATCTGTTCCTATCCTGACTATGCAAAGCATTGAGGGAAGAACACACTGACAGAATCTGCCTCTACGGAGCCAAAAGCAAACAGCAGAGTTAGTCTAATTACCAGGACAAGATGGGGAGTGGGGTAAGGAGACAGAAGGGCTGGAGCCATGTTTTACTTATGTCATTCTGAAATATATTGACTAATAACCCCATTTAGCCCTCAATTAGGCATGGTGGACTTTCTGACAGTTGACTTAAATCCGGTTAAGTCTGGTTCTTTGAGATCTGTGAGGGGTCGTCAAGAAGTGTCTATAGGGGTAGAATAGTATAATGGTAGCACATAATGTTATCAACTGTTATCATGTAGTGCCTCCATTACCAACTATAACAGATGCCTGGTGTTCTCATGGTTGAACTGCTAGTGCAGTGGGCACTAGCACAAATAATCCATGGAGTTTTATGTATGGTAGTGATTTTCAAGGACCCAAAGACGCTTTAAAATAGAGGGTACTCACTACCGCTATACTTGGGCATCCAGCGGACGGTGGGAGGTAGACCGTTGATGTTGAAGTGCTTGCCATCGAACTGAGAGCACTGCTCCTCGCGGAAGTCTCTTTGTCCTCGGGGACACGGCTCAGTGTTGCACGACCGGAACTTCATCCTTCGACCCACACAGAACTTTCCTCCGTTCCGGGGCCTGAAGAAACATTAAGGCAAAATAACTTGATTAAAACATGACTGACATTCACAGAGGCTTTGACTCCTTGATTGACATGTGTTTTGCCAAGTACGTACTCAGGCTTTTTTTGTGACTTTTACTCAGGTGTAGTATTGTTTTGACTAATCAGAGCCCTTACTCAAGGTGTGTTATTATTGCTTTGACTGGCTACTCCTGGTGTGTTTTGACTTAGTTTGGCTTAGTTAGACTTAGACTGAATCTTACTCAGGCTTGAAGCAGTCTCCTGTTGTGTTTGGACTGGGTACTCCAAGACTCCTAAGGCTCTTATTCAGGTTTGTTGCAGTCTCCTGGCGTTTTGCACTAGTAGGAATAAGAGTCTTACTCAGGGTTGTTGCAGTCTCTGGAGGTGCTCCTGGTGCCTCCTCCACAGGTCCTGGAGCAGACACTGTAGGGCCCCCAGGGGCCCCACTCCCCATGGACTGGCCGCAGGTCCAGCTCCTTGTTTACACACTTCCCATGTCTGCAGTGCTGCACAGAGAAAGAGTACACTATATATACAAAAGTATGTGTACTCCCCTTCAAATTAGTGGATATGGCTATTTCAGCCACACCCGTTGCAGACAGGTGTATGAAATCAAGCACACAGCCATGCAATCTCCATAGACAAACATTGGCAGTAGAATGGCCTTATTGAAGAGCTCAGTGACATTCAACGTGGCACCGTCATAGGATGCCACCTTTCCAACAAGTCAGTTTGTCAAGTTTCTGCCCTTCTAGAGCTGCCCCGGTCATCTGTAAGTGCTGTTATTGTGAAATGGAAACATATAGGAGTAACAACGGCTCAGCCGCGAAGTGGTAGGCCACACAAGCTCACAGAACGGGACCGGCGAGTGCTGAAGCGCGTAGCGCGTAAAAATAATCTGCCCTCGGTTGCAACACTCACTACCGAGTTCCAAACTGCCTCTGGAAGCAACGTCAGCACAATAACTGTTCGTCGGGAGCTTCATGAAATGGGTTTCCATGGCCGAGCAGCCGCAAACAAGCCTAAGATCACCATGCGCAATGCCAAGCGTCAGCTGGAGTGGTGTGAAGCTCACCGCCATTGGACTCTGGAGCAGTGGAAACGCGTTCTCTGGAGTGATGAATCACGCTTCATTATCTGGCAGTCCGACGGACGACTCTGGTTTTGGCGGATGCCAGGAGAACGCTACCTGCCCCAATGCATAGCGCCAACTGTAAAGTTTGGCGGAGGAGGAATAATGGTCTGGGGCTGTTTTTCATGGTTCGGGCTAGGTCCCTTAGTTCCAGTGAAGAGAAATCTTCACCAATGCTCTTGTGGCTGAATGGAAGTCCCACAGCAATGCTCCAACATCTAGTCGAAAGTCTTCCCAGAAGAGTGGAGGCTGTTACAGTAGCAAAGGGGGGACCAACTCCATATTAATGCCCAGGATTTTGGAATGAAATGTTCGACGAGCAGGTGTCCACATACTTTTTGTCATGTAGTGTATAAGTGGTAGTTAAGATTTCCAATGTATTCCAATGTATTCGTGATGGACATATGGAAAATAAACTTGAAGCTTGAATTTGAAACTTGCGACCACAAACACTCACAGGGGATCATCTTAAAGAGTGTGACATCATCACTCATCACAATCCCAACCAACACACCACAGTGCAAGAATGTCAACTCAGCTCTGGTTGGTGCAGAACCAGATTTAGCGCAGGCAGCGATCACAGATGGGAGTGTTGTCCCTCCTTCCCTTCCCTAATCCTCTGTTTAGATGTAAAACTATACCCTAAAAGAAACTGAGGGGGATGCTAATCCTGCTATCATTTACCCCAGAGGAATGTTTCCAAGTTCCCCATGCAGCTGTGGGGACAGGGCCTGTCGGCTCCGGCTCAGCGCCTAGCCTGCTGCGTGGGGAGGGATGAGGGGATGAGGGCAGTGCCAGTGAGTGGAACCAGAGCCAACAGCACTCTGCAGAGCTGCACACTGCAACACTTCCATGTTGTCAGCCTTTATTACATCATGGATTGACCGAGAGGGCAGCCAATAAAATCTTCAACTGCGTTTGGCTGTTTCTTCTCAATGAGCTAAGCCAGGTCCTCTCCTGTTGAATTCCTGCTCTGCTGGTGTCACATGCCCCCCTCTCGTGTGGACAGCCAGCTATTCCTCCAAAATATGTAAGGGGGCATCCCAAATGGCACCCTGTTCCCTATATACAGTGGCTTGCGAAAGTATTCACCCCCCTTGGCATTTTTCCTATTTTGTTGCCTTACAACCTGGAATTAAAATGGATTTTGTATAATTTGATTTACACAACATGCCTACCACTTTGAAGATGCAAAATATATTTTTTTGTGAAACAAACAAGAAAACTTGAGCGTGCATAACTATTCACCCCCCCAAAGTCAATACTTTGTAGAGCCACCTTTTGCAGCAATTACAGCTGCAAGTCTTTTGGGGTATGTCTCTATAAGCTTGGCACATCTAGCCACTGGAATCTTTGCCCATTCTTCAAGGCAAAACTGCTCCAGCTCCTTCAAGTTGGATGGGTTCCGCTGGTGTACATCAATCTTTAAGTCATACTACAGATTCTCATTTGGATTGAGGTCTGGGCTTTGAGTAGGCCATTCCAAGACATTTAAATGTTTCCCCTTAAACCACTCAAGTGTTGCTTTAGCAGTATGCTTAGGGTCATTGTCCTGCTGGAAGGTGAACCTCCGTCCCAGTCCCAAGCTTGTGGAAGGCTACCCGAAACGTTTGACCCAAGTTAAACAATTTAAAGGCAATGCTACCAAATACTAATTGAGTGTATGTAAACTTCTGACCCACTGGGAATGTGATGAAAGAAATAAAAGCTGAAATAAATCATTCTCTCTACTATTATTCTGACATTTCACATTCTTAAAATATAGTGGCGATCCTAACTAACCTAAGACAGGGAATTTTTACAATGATTAAATGTCAGGAATTGTGAAAAACTGAGTTTAAATGTATTTGGCTAAGGTGTATGTAAACCTCCGACTTCAACTGTAACCTTTTTTACATGAGCACAGTGTGCATGAAGATACTGTGGTATGAACTGATGAAATCCTGCATTTAAGCTGGGTATCGGACAACCTACCAACCAACCCCTGCCAAGAAGAGGTAGACCTAACAGTGCTTTCATAAAGCAAACATGGCAGCCTATTTAGTTTTGTATGTGTAACCAAATATCTCTCTCCATAGAGAAGATAGCAGGAGGGTCCTTTTCAGAGAAAGAATGCGGGACAAGACGGCGTCAGTCTGGGTGCACAGCGGCAGGCAGGCAGGCAGGCAGCCCGTTGTCCGGGCACACAGACACGGGGAGTGGTGGCACGGTGGCGATAAGAGAAACTCTAGAGTTGTGATAACAGGGTAACAGCTCATTACTGGCTTGACATCAGGAACGGTTTGTTTTTCTCCCCATTCAGACAGAAACCATGTGACCAGACCACAGCCCATTGGGCACACTCACAAAGGAGGCTGGTGTGCTGCTTTGAATGTACATGAACTGTCTTCTATGGTATGTAACATGTATAGATGCAGTCCCATCTGCATGTTCATCTGTCACGCAGAGGGCCCGGTTTTTGCAGAGGAACGATCCTACGGCTAAATCTCCAATTTGCCTTGTGCTCACTCAACTGTATACTTTTACTACTGAGCAAATTACATTAGACTTTGTTCAAACTGCACACCCACTCCACTGTGGAACAGATATTGTTTGACAGTATGAGACCCTGTCATAGATGTTCATAATGACTCTATTAAGCCAGAGAGGATGACAATCACAAGGGGTCCTCGTCAGGGGAACAGTGAGGTTGAGGTGTCCCTGTGTATGCCTTGAGAATTAATGTGCTCTGAGCTGTGCCATGACCTGGGGTGAACACCTGTGGATCTCCCTTCCATACCGCAGATACACACACATCCCGAATCTGGCACGGCCGCTCCGACCAGGGCTATGTTGCAATACACTCTAAAGAGCAATGATGGAGTACAAGGAATAAACATGATGACAGGCAGGTGTTAAACATTTCCATAATTCAGACAAGCTTTGAGTAATGATCTGGCCTTTCTTTATTCCCCCTCCTCAGCTCACACTCAACATTCCACGTCCTGGCCCATTTTGTAACGACATTAGCCAAATTAATTCTACAGCTATATTAGATTTGTTTTAAAGACACAGAGTGGAATGTGCTAAAACAAACCACTCACACAAATGAGTAGAGCCAGAAATAGGTTCCACACAGTACTAAGGGGAGGCAGGCCTTTCTTTGGGTTGAGAAAACACTGAACACCAAAGATCTCCACTCGCTCAGGAAATGTAAAACATCATAGGAAATGGTATGAGAAACATCTGAAACACTCCCAATAGAGTTGATTGAACCAATGAAGAATCCTCCTAATATAACACAACACCAGAGAGCCAGGCAGAGCATGGTGGTGGCTTACTGACACTAACCTTACCTAAACTCAGCTTTTGAGTGTCTCTCACCATGGTCTCAGCTTGTCCCTTCTCACCCCCCCTCACAGAATGAGGATTGTCAGCCAAGACCGAAAAAGTGTACCCCCCCCTCACCCCCCTCCTCTGTGAGGGTTGTATGGGACAGGGGGGGACCACCGCAGGGCTGCTGGGCAGTAAGACCTGAGCAACTGGCAAACACAAGGGGCTGTCAGATAGGACCAAAGCCCCTGTAAGCCTTTAAGGCATTCCACTCCCTGCTGGCACTTCATGTTTACAATCGTTTTGTTTAGCTTGAAAAGGTGTGTGTGTGTGTGAGAGAGAGGTGTGTGTGAGAGGTGTGTGCGTGCATGTGTGTGTGTGTGTGTGTGAGAGAGAAGTGTATGTGTGTGGTGTATATGCACTGAAGCATCTGGGGCCCTATTGATTGTAATTAGCTCTCAGGGATGCACAAATACAGCCTTGGAAAATGCTGACGTGAAAAGGCCTCGGTAAAGCTGGCACAACCCTTTAGGGCTCTGGACCACAGTTTCCTAGATAGATTGTCAAAATGTGTCCTCAATTGGGAATGCAGTGAGACATTTGAAGGCCTTGTGAGAGAAACTTGCCCAGCTGTTGCTAGCATGTGTTTCAAATGAGGAATTTTCACACACGCACACACGTTGTTGCTTAACAACGCTTAGGGAGGCTTCATGTTGTTGAGGAGGGAAAATGGTTAGCTTACTGCAAACCAAGTCTCAGCATCTGCTCTACTCTAAGTTCAGCTGGCTGGTTAGAGGTTGCGCCCTGTAATCGCGAGGAAGTTGCTTGAGAGTACATCATTTCTCCCCAAGCCATACATCATCACAGGAATGAGAGGGCAGAGGGATTGATTTAAAAACCTCCCAGTCTTTAATTTTAACACAGACATTTCCAAAAGGCATCACCTTTCATGTTCTGGTTCTCACAG